AGAGAATGAATGAATTGGCTATGGTACCGTTGTAGACATGCAATGGTATTTCCAGCTTGATCTGTTAAATTATTGAATTCATGCTTTTTTTCCTTGAAAACTTCAGTCAAGTGGGGTGTTTTTATAATTTTTTCCCACCAGATGGTGGCAGAGAGGCCTTGGGGCAGTGATGGTCTGCAATGCTAAGCCAAAAAAATGGCCGAAGTGGCTTAACAAGGCCATTACAACAACACACCCCTGACCCCTTGAAACCATAAACATGACCTAGAACTAATGGTCAGAAAGGCCTGTGGCCCTTACACAACATCTGACCAAGCTCAGATGACCATGTGATATTTGAGGAAGAAAATTATGAATGAAGAGGAGAAAGGGACTGGCTGGCACAGTTTTCACTCTCTGCTATAAATCCCAGCCATGCCTACATTAGGATAATTCAGCTAGCAGCAACGAAAGCTGAACATCTTACCTAAAAAACAGACACTTACAATGTCAGAAGATATTTTCTGGAATAAGTGCTTCCTGGACTAAACTCATGTTGTGCACCAACATGTGGCACACGTTATGGGGATGGTTGGCACAACGTTAAAACTTTATCATTTCAAATAATGAAGCAACAAATAGAAATAATCAGAGCTTTTAATTTAAACCAAAACACAAACTTCAACATTATATGGCAACCAAATAACACTTTTAAATCAATTAAACATAAGCCATGTTTTATTTATCACTTGCTTGCATCGAACAGTAAATATTTCACATTTTAAAAATTCTTATGTAATAAATACATTAAGTTATAAGCTAAGTTTTATCTTGAGATAGACTGTTCTGGCCTACAAATGGCCTAAAGCAGGTGTTCTTAACCTGAGGGTCTGGACCCCTCCTTATGGTCCTGGGGGGTTGTGAGAGACATATATCTTATGTGTTAATGTATTATTGACAAGTGCATACAAGCTCTGCTAAATGGCTCCACCTACAGGCCGTGGAGGACAGGCTAATGTTGGTTATGAATTTCTATTGGGTGAGATCATTACTGAGGGAGGGTCTTGATAACTTGACAACTGAACTTTTTTTGAGCGCCAGGCTAAAGTGTATGAGTACAATTGCTATTTTATTATTCAACTGTAATTTCTTTAATGTGCATACTGACGTGTGTGAAAAGGGGAGGGGGTGGTCAAAGAGGGGTTCACACAATAATTTTAACCCCAAACAAGCGTCACACTGTGAAAAGGTTTAAGAACCCCTCGCCTTAAGCTTAAAGGTAATCAAAAGTTGTTAAAAAATTTAATGTAAATTGGCTTATATATAACAACAACAACAACCAACCCCCTCCCACACCAGGACAAATCTTTGTGTTTCATGTTAGTAAGCTGGTTATCATTGACTTTTAAATCATAAATCAAAATATAGCTGATTGTTAGTAGTTTCCTTTTAAAACATTCCTGTAATGTATTTAGTCAGGGAGATAGATAGATAGATAAATAGATAGATAGATAGATAGATAGATAGATAGATAGATAGATAGATAGATAGATAGATAGATAGATAGATAGATAGATAGATGGATAGATAGATAGATCAGAGCTCCCACAACTGGCCCAGAAGTTAACATTGCCAAAAATCCCCATTCTCCCCAAATGCAATCAGAACTTCACAAGTTCTTGACTTTGTGAAGTTCTATGTGCCAAAAATCCCTGAAGTTCTGAAGTTCCAAGTCTATGGTGCTGCCCTTTTCATTTTTCATTTGCCTCAATTTCTGAGGAATACAGGATGAGGTAGCTTTACCTCCCTACTGGCCAAACACACAGGAAGAAGATTTTATGGCACTAGCCTACTTGGGGATTAAATCTGAAGCTGGTAAATATCTGAGAAGTTATGGCTGTAACGCAGCCAAATGTAAGCAAGTCATTGAAGATCAGGGTGTTGATATTACATCCGACTCACAAAACCGCCTGACAGCTTCTTGGAGGAGAAGAGAGTACTGGTCCAAAACAAACTGGATGAAATGTAGCCAACAAATTAAAAGCAGAAGACAGCTGTATTCACTGCAATAATAAAGATGGTGAACACAATTCCTCTCATTTCTTTTGATGTGAGAAACACATGTAAATGTACAATACCACACATGACAAAATGACAGGAAGACAGAATTGCAGTATATGATCATTTCATAAATTTGTGTTGATGCCAAAAATACTCAAAATATTAAATAAAACATACCTTTGTGTAGACTCAAATCTACATTATGCAAGTTATCATTTTAAATTAAATGGCAACTATTAAATGATTCCAGGTTTACAGCCTCTAAATATAAAGGTTTTAATTGTAGTAGACTTTACAGCAACATCAGATAATATACAAATAATAAGGTCTGCAGAAGGAATTCTATTTATTGTTGCATTGCCATTAGTCAATGAAGTTGTTTTGGCATCTTACAGTTTTCTATAAAATATGTTTTGTATATTTTATGTGGTGTGCTAGGTAGAATGAAAACTAAGATCACATCTGAGATGATCAGCATATTATGGCTTACAGAAGACTTTTTACTGGGGGAACCTGGTATGTGTTGCATTTCTTCTTATTATTCCTATTCTTCTTATTATTATTATTATCATTATTATTACAACCCCATTTCCAAAAAAGTAGGGACGCCGTACAGAATGTAACTAAAAATAGAATGCAGTGATATGCAAATCATGTAAACCCTATATGTAAATAAAAAAATACTACAAAGACAACATTTCAAATGTTGAAACTGTGAAATTTTATTGTTTATTGAAAAAAATGTCCTTTTTGAATTTCATCACCTTTTTAACAACACTCTGTAAGCATTTGGGAACTGAGGAGACCGACTGCTGTAGTTTTGAAAGTGGTATGTTTTCCCGTTCTTGCTTAACATAGGATTTAAGCTGCTCAACAGTTCAGGGTCTCCTTTGTTGCATTTTTCATTTCATAACATGCCAGATGTTTACAGCGGGTGACAGGTCTGGACTGCAGGCAGGCCAGTTTAGCACCTGGACTCTTTCACTATGGAGCCATGCTGTTGTGATACGTGCAGAATGTGGTTTGGCATTGCCTTGCTGAGGTAAGCAAGGCCTTCCCTGAACAAAATGTCGTTTGGATGGCAGCATATATTGTCAAAACATGTATATGTTGTTCAGCATTAATGGTGCTTTCATAGATGTGCACATCACCCATTCCATGTGCACTAATGCACCCCTATACCATCATGAATACTGGCTTTTGAACTGTACGCTGATAACAAGCTGAGTGGTCTTAAGCTTGGAGGACATGACGTCCATGATTTCCAAAAAGAATTTAAAATTTTGATTCGTTGGACCAGAGGACACTTCTCCACTTCCCCTCAGTCCATTTTAAATTAGCTCAGGCCCAGAGAAGGTGGCGGCGTTTCTGGATCCTGTTTATATATGGTTTCTTCTTTGCATTTAGAGTTTTAACTTGCATTTGTGGATGCAGTGACAAACTGTTTTCACAGACAGTAGTTTTCAGAAGTGTTTCTGAGCCAATGCAGTGATTTCATCTACAGAATCATGCCTGTTTTTAATGCAGCTGTGGATGAGTAGAGAGTATGTTTGGGTTTATAGGGAAGGAGAAGATCAGACAAGTAGGAAGGAGTGAAATTGTTAGGAGCTCTGTATGTGAGCAGAAGAATTCTGTAGATGATGGAGATCAGGTGTAAAGAGAATTACAGAGCCAGTTTTGTTGAGAGTTGATTTAGAGGAGATGAGAAGGAATTCAGTCAAGAAGCTGAAAGCATGACTGTTTTTTCCTTCGAAGACTTCACCTCCCTTGATTTTAGTGTAAACAAGGGAACAAAACTGGCTCTTTACTTTTAATTAAAAAATCACTTAATTGGTTCATAAACTTCATAAATCGATTTATGACATATTCTAAAAGTCAAGCACCATATACCATATAACAGCACCATATAAAAACATTCCTTAAAAAGGTAAATGACACTTCCACTGCAACTGTCGTTAACTAGGTGCACAACACATGAAAATCCAAACAAGATTTTCAACAACACAGACTACAGGATCCAAGTAAAAAACAAAACACTTTTTAAAACCACCTCTATTGTAGATGAAATAGACTGCCTTGATCAAATGTGATCTATTAAACTAAAATGTCAAAAACGCAGTGTCAATTTGATTACCTTTTCTTTGAAGACACATTTTCGTTCCTTAAGATATCCAGTTTGGTCTTAGTAAATTGCTGACATTAGCAGACTAAGCTAGAAAACTAGATACCATTACCTCACAATCAGTGCACATGGCACTTTTACCATGAACTACACTGAACCATGAACTTACACTAAAGTTAGCTTGGCATTGCAAATAGATGTGCTAGCAGAAATTAGCTTTAAAATGATAAACAAAGCCTTCTTACAAATGAAGGTTTGGGTCATCGAAATGACTACAGGCAAGAAATTTACCTGACTAATGTAATGCGGCTAGTACTCTTGCTAATGTAGTTACTGTTTACCTGATTTCTGTCTTTTTCCTGTAAATGTAATGGATTTTTTATCCTGCTATGCTATGCTACAATCTTAAAAGTCTTCTTATTTCAGTTAAACAATGGCACAAGCAGACGTCTTTATAGCTTACAAAAACAACCTGAACAGAGGGAAAAAAGAAAAAAGTATCAGTATTAGTGTAAAAAAGCTCTTCAACTACTTATAGATACTCATAGTTACTTATAGAAATACAGTTGAACTTCTTAGTACATCCATCAACGTCTACATCCACTATCTATGCAGCATAGAAACGAAAGTTTTTTTAGGAATTAGGAATTAAATATGAATTACGAAAAAATTAAACTGAGCAAAAAGTAAATTACATTCCATATAAATATACCCCTGTATAAGTAAAATTATTACAAAACTGTAGTTGCCACCTCATGCATCATTCACTTTTGTTTCAGGCTTTTGAGCGTTTTGAGTCCCTTATTTTGAAGTAAAATAATTACGGCGACCATTTTGAAAATTCCTCTAAGGTCTCTGAATTCACACTATTATCGTCATTAACAGTGTCGTTCTCGTCGGGTTTGATGCTTATTCTCTGTCTGTCGACGACTTAAATATCACTCTGGACCGTTTGAATGGACAAATAAGGTACAAAAAACATTTTCTGTTGTATAAATAAATGCTTTGTTTGCACGTTTGTTGGCTATACAGCTACCTGTCTGGACCGCCTAGCAGTTTGCTAGCCACTTAGCTAGATTTAGCTCACAGCAAGCTCAGTTACTGACGACTCAAACGCAGAGCTGTCGCCCTAGTTCGAGTTAAAGTGGATCTTTTTAACAGTCATGTCAGTTCTTTCTTTTATATCTACATTACATCTGAGTCAGAAACGATTGATAATAAACCAGCTAGCTAGCAGTATTTTCTTGTTACTTAGAATAAATATGGCCCGCTCACGTTTCACATTCTAACTCACAGCCCACCACACCACCTCTAAGTTAGCTGGTCTTTTGCTCAATTGGTTCATTGGCTAGCTAAATATTACATTTCAGATGAGGTTTTGGAAAAGAAGTAACGTTACACTAAAAAAGTGCAACTTTGTGGCTGTTCGGGGCTGCTTTCATCCACAAACTCTTTCTTGCTCTTCCTAACCTGCAGTCTTCAGGGAATTTGCTGTGCTTGATTTTAAGTAGACCTACAGTGAAAAAAGTGAACAGTTGATACACACCAGGATTGTTACCGATTAATTCTGTCAAAAAAACTCGTAAAGCTACAACATGCTGATTTGTATTTATATGTAACGTTAAATGATGAAATAGTACTTCCACACTCAAGTATAAACACAAGCACATTTAGTTAGCTTGTACTTTAGTCATCGTGTAATTTCGCCTTTAGTTATCAGCTCTTTTTAATTTCCTTCTGTTCTGTTAGTAACAGCATCTGGATCGCTTTGCTGTAGCTCCCCCTCTCAGGGTTGAGCTTATACCCTCTCCACTTGCTGAATGATTTCTGGTGCAATAGTTCTGTCTAATCCACACACTCTCTAGTCAGTATGGACGTAGGTTGCATATGTGTTTAATTAGGTCAAGGGTAGGCAATACGATGGCATATAATTGTGATCTTGATAAATGATCACAATACACTGTTAACCAACAATGGTTCTTGGGAGCGATGCCATACAAGAACCACTTTTGATACCCTACAGAATTTTTGTATGAATGTGGTGAACCTTTTTAAAGTTCAAATAAGCTTCTTATAGTGTAATGTTCTCTACAAATTAAATGGTTTTCTTGCACATCCAAGCCTTTAATTTTATAGTTTTTATATTTCTGTTTCTCAGTTGCCCTTTTTTAAATATGGCATTACTTGTTTGTGGCTCTTTTTTCTAACTTGTTTGTAAGCCTCAGAAAAACAAAATATTGTGATACATATCATTAATCATGATAATAGCTTCAAGTTTTGTAATGTTTTATGTTTGCTACCCCTAATTTCTGTTCCTTTTGTCATATCTGTGTGTGAGCTGCACTTTGTTTGAATGATGCCTTTGCATTATTTGCAAAATGCTACATTTATCTCAAGTATTTATCTCTCATGCATGTTTTTTGGTAGAAATCCACATGTTCATGGCAGTGAAGAGAAAAGTATTGCTAAAAAAACATGAGAACTTATTCTGTTCTTTGTACCCCTTTTTTTTACATATTGATACAAAGACAAAAAGGTGATAAAGTGCAGGCTTGTACCATCCAGGCTGTTTACTGAATTGAAATATATGTGTCTGTGCCTATACAAGTGCTCAAGTGGAGTCAAGCTATGCGGTAGATATGTGGCCGTTGCTATTGTGTATGTGGTTGTTGAAGCATCTATCCAGTGCCAGGGGTCTGCAGATGCTTTGCTCTTGATTGGCATGCACACCAAGAGCTCTCTTAAAAGATGCATGATTTATGCTTTTCAAAGTCTGCAGGAATAGGTGCTCTCGAAACAGCCTTATTAATGTACACTAATTTTCTCTACTACTTGGGACCTATTATAAGTATAGAGCAGTATAACTGAAGTGATTTTTCAAAACATGCACAGAAACATATAGTCTGGTCTGGATCATCTGATTGGGATGCTCATGGCATACAATACAATACTTTGCTGTAATTCGTTAGAAGGCTTATTTGCATGTTGCAGCCTTCTTGGCAGTATCTTTAGGAATACACAATAATCCTGGAATTGTCAGTATTGGGAGATAATTGCTCAAAACAAAATTGTCCAACAGATGTTCAGATTTGGCCAATATGTCAAACTAAATTTTTGTCAGATATTTATTGGACTCTGGAGGAGCATGTGATCCTGGGCTACTGTGCTAAAATATCAGCATTTTATTCATTTTGCTGCATTTGTAACGCTGTATAAATAAATGTTATATTTCTCTGTAATTCTAATCCAGGTAGATATAGTTCTGGTGTCTGCATTTAAAAATTGTTTATGTATCAGCAATGGCATGTACATAAATGAAAAATTTCAAATATCATCAGCAATCAATTCCCAAGGGGATGCTTCCCTAAATGTCATGATAATGACTAGTGAAGGAATATTGTGCAGGCCTAGTAAGAGTGTGAGTGTGGAAGAGGTTGTTTTTGTGTCTGCACTCTGCAGAGATGCTTTACAGATCCAGAACTACACAACCCCTGATGTGAATAAATAAGCGACCCTCTTATTGAAATGCTATAGTCTGTCAGTCCTCAGCCTATAATTCTTATTCCTCAAACTTTGCTTGCACCTTCAGGGGTACCAGCGTGCGCTCGGACACCGCCGCCATGGACATCACCAGCCGCTGCACTCTGGGTGACCCCAACAAGCTGCCGGAGGGCGTGCCGCAGCCCGCCCGCATGCCCTATGTCTCAGACAAGCACCCGCGTCAGACGCTGGAGGTCATCAACCTGCTGCGAAAGCACCGGGAGCTGTGTGACGTGGTGCTGGTGGTGGGGGCCAAGAAGATCTATGCGCATCGTGTCATCTTGTCTGCCTGCAGCCCCTACTTCAGGGCCATGTTTACTGGAGAGCTGGCTGAGAGCCGGCAGACTGAAGTGGTCATCCGTGACATTGACGAGCGTGCCATGGAGCTGCTCATCGACTTTGCCTACACCTCACAGGTCAGTTGGGCTCTACATGCAGTTGTGGACTTTAAGTGTTTTTTAAATTATGAAATTATGAAGTTTATTACTTCAACAAGACATAATCTATCAAATAGCCTACAAGAATAATCAGTGCTACATATCACAACAAAAGCCAAAAAATGTTTGGTATCTGAATTTTGCTACTTTAGTTTTGTAATGGTACTACTAGGCTAATGTATCTAACAAGTAATGAAATTTTACACCCTTAAACTATGCAAACATCTAAATCATCACACACTAACTTCAAACCATGTTGACTCGTTAAGTAATAAACAAATAAACTGCTTATATGGCTTCTAGCACTGTAAGACAAGCTATCACCTATTAAGGGGCCCACATCCTACAATTTTCTAAGGTCCAATTAGAACATATGTATGATTTGATGTACCAAAAATAGTCAGAATTCATTTTTATATGACCATTTCCGATCTCTGTTTTTCTCTTAGAATTGTTGTTACTGTGGTATATGTAAATGAGATCTATTCTGATTGACTGCCCTATATCACACCTCCTTTAAAAAGCAGTTTGAGCTGAAACACTCCTTATAACTTCAGCATAAATGGGCAGGGCTAAACTGCTATAGGCTGAATAGGTGGATATGTGTAAATATCTTGGTTTTCATAACTATAGAAACAGTGAATTCAAAACATTCCATATGTGGACTGCACTTCAACAGTGTTTACATATTACATCAACCTCTTTCATTTCTAAAAAGAGAGGAAAATTTGTTTGTTTGTACATGATGTGAACCCTTTAAAATCTATGAAAGAATGTAGCGTAGCTAAAAACAGTTGTCTTCAGCCTTCTTGAAGGTTGAATCTTGTCTGTACTTTTCTCACCAAATATGTTTTGCTCATGGATTACTTTTGAGGTAAAATTGTGTGAATTTTTAATATTTCACTGAAATGTTGCTTTCACTACAAATCTTTGTGTACTTTCTTTTTGGAGCATAAAGTTTGGAATCTCTGTGTTAACAGGCAGATTTTCCATTTACTTTGTAGATGAGTGTGCTACTTACTCTAGTATGTGTTAGTGGAATTAGTGTACTGTGAGGACTAACCCATGTGTTTGTGGTGCGCAGGTGACCGTGGAGGAGGGTAACGTACAGACCCTACTGCCCGCTGCCTGCCTGCTTCAGCTGGCTGAGATTCAGGAGGCCTGCTGCGAGTTCCTCAAGCGCCAGCTCGACCCCTCCAACTGCTTGGGCATCCGGGCCTTTGCCGACACACACTCCTGCCGAGAGCTGCTGCGCATTGCAGACAAATTCACCCAGCATAACTTTCAGGAGGTAAGCCACCCACTCCCACGTCAGGATGTGTTCTTTCAGTACTGAAGATATTGATAATATGCTCAGAAAAGTGCACTGTGGCATACTTTATCACGATAATGATAAAATATTGACATTATTCCTCACCCCTAGCTGAAATGCACATCCTTAGTAGATAGAAGAAGCAACATATTTCAATAGTGTGTTTTCCAGCATGGTAAAATTGCAGAGGCTTCACTTCCTTAGTGTTGCTCTCTTGATACTGGTTCTGAAAGATAGCATAGCGGTGTAAAAATACAGATCAATAGTGATATATTAATCTGAAGGTGGTGATTAGACTGCATCAGTTTGACAGTTGATTATATTTAGTTCATTATCAATAAAATATTACTTTGCTGTCCTGTTTTGTAATTTGGGCCATTTATATTGGTTCAAGTTTTGACACAATGTGAAAAGAAGCTGCTGTGCTCTAATGATGCAGAAAAATAAAAAGTGAGAAAACTGGAGATGCATGTTTTTTGGACATCTCATTGTATGGTATGCTTATTGTTTGGTCAGTATAAAATTCTCAGGCTATTTTCAAATGTTAAATTGTAAAAAAATAATAATAAAAAAATTGATTATTAATGTCTATATTCCAATACTGTGCAAATACTTTATATGCATTTGTGTGCTTTTAAAATAGTTGCGCACTGTAACAAAATAATCGAATCATAGTGAATTATGAGGTTTATTCTTAGCTTGGTGCTGATCCTCTCATAAGCTTGGTACAATGTGTTGCCTAGTCTTATCTTTTCGATATCGTTCCCACAGTCTCACACACCCTCATATATACACAATTGCTTTGTTTTCTATACCTTCTGTTTAGCTTGCCATGCCTTGTTAGTGATCATGATGATGTTAAAGGACTGTTATCTGTTAAGTAATACTAAAGGTTAGATAATGCAATCTGTAGGTCTCAAGCCTTACTGTGACTTGTATGTTGGTTACCAGTCTCAGCGTGAGTAAGAATAAGTGGAGTGCGGTATCCCCTGTGCTAAATTTAGCCATGCTCCCTGGTCATAAACTGTATTATGTGTCTCCCTTTTTTTCGTTAGCTTCATGTTTCATGGATGACAGCGCAACCCTGTGTTATTTTTAACTCCAAGGAATCTGTTTGAATCTGTTCTCTGGAGTCAGGTTATCTTCCCAAGTTGTGCTACTGATCTTTGGAGCTTTCCCTGTAGTCTGCTGTTTTCATTTACTATAGTTTATATTGGAGAAATTAAGTAACTCTTCTCTAGATGTTACAAAACTGCTTTATAGGTTCATTTGCATATTGAGTTGTAGACTGACGCGCCTCTAAAGTGGCGAGGCACTTGTGAACGAACAGAATTCTTCCTCTGCTTGCACATGTTCTGTAAGCATTTATTTGTACAACCTCTAATAGTCTGGCTACCGACAGCCTGAACCACATGTTTGAATCAGACTAAGCTTAGGTCAACTAAGACGTTATTTGTGCCGTGACATTCGAACTGCGCTGTTTACAGGATCTTGTCTTAGTTTAGACTAGCAGTTTAATATTGAACCATTGGTGTACATATAAACATAGTTTGAGAGGAACAAAGACTCAAAACAGGAATACACCCTCCCCTCTTGGCCACGTCTGATGGAATTATGGTAGAAGTAGAACAAGTGTTCCAGTCAGATCTTACAGTGTCCAATGCTAGCCTATCAATCTGGTGGATTATGGATTGTTAGATGTAGGGCTTAACAATTATTTAATTATTAATTATTTAAAATCGCAAGAGTTATCATTTTAATTATATCCTACATTATTCACCATTGTCTTAACAATTTTTAAGTGGGAAAATAATCCTGGTAGGCTGTGTGGGAACTGGTAGGCTTTGAGTGTTTAAGACAAAGTCGGAAAAAATGAATGTGCTCGTCTTCTTGAAAGACCTTCTTAAATTGTTCAGCCCTAGTTTGATATATACAGAGTGTTAGATATGAGAACATGGCAAGATCAGTATTAGCATAAGTTTTACAACTTCAAAAAACATATTGTGAGTTACATAAATAGGTAATTTATGCCCCTCTTCTGCCAAATGACTCCGTCACTAGGGATTGGTCACAAAGTCCTTTTTATTCCAAGTTAGATTTAACTTTTTTACCAAAGTCCCTCTCTGTTTATTTAATCCCAGGTGATGGAGAGTGAGGAGTTTATGCTGCTCCCAGCCAATCAGCTGATTGACATCATCTCAAGTGACGAGCTGAATGTGCGCAGTGAGGAGCAGGTGTTTAATGCCGTCATGGCCTGGGTCAAATACAGCATCCAAGAACGCCGGCCACAGCTCCCCCAGGTCGCTTGCACAACTGTTACACTCTCACTTGTGCTGTTTATAGAGGTTTTTCAATGTTCTACATATTCACATATATTATCAGCATCATTTTACTCAGTACTACCTCACAACATTCATAGTGTGGGACTGTGTCTGCAGCTATGCTTAATTCAAAGTCTGTCAAAGTTCTTGCAATTTATTTTCTGTAGTATACTCCTGGCAGGCCAAAGTTCTGCAGAGATAAGCATTTTATCTCTTCTAACATGTTAAGATCAACTAATAAAGACCTTGCTAAATTAGCCAAAGAGTTAAATCAGGAGTGTTTAATGAGGTCGATTGCTAAACTGTGATGCAGTGCTGTGGCTCTCCAGGACTGGGTTCTGTGGACCTGTGGTTATTTTTTACTGGTCGCTTTATCCTGAGTAAAATGTGATCGAATCTTTATTGATGAAGGAGCAGGTGGTCCATGAAAATAACTGACATGGCACATCGGGAAGACACTAAAATCGCTGAGAAGTGCTGGTAAAAATTGCATTACCCCACCTCCTCATGGAAAACTAATTCTCTCTGAATAGGGCTATACCATGATAGGTACCACATAAACAAGTTATTCACATTATCCTCAGCGAAACTAATGAAAAACCTTAGACACCAGTCATGTCTTGGCTGGTCTGCTGGTTCACAATATGATCTTTACATTTTCATTATTTTTTTCTCACTACACATACAGGTCCTCCAGCATGTCCGTCTTCCTCTTCTGAGCCCCAAGTTCCTGGTGGGAACGGTGGGTTCAGATCCACTAATCAAGAGTGATGAGGAATGTAGGTGTGTACACACTCAGCCAACTGTTATTCAAACGTTTCATTCCAGAGCTATGCAACATATGACCTTCATGTGACACACAAACTTTCTGGCCAACAGTGTTCACAATCCATTGTTGGGTTCTGTAATCTGAGATAGGGCAATTACTGTACCAGACAGTGAGACTGCTGGTCAGGAGGCTCTCTGTTGTCCTCCTGTAAAATGTTGTGAAGATGTAATTGGGAGGTGAGTTTATCAGTGATGTGCAAATCAAGGAACCTGAGGTCATCATTGATGTACACATCAAGGAACTTGGAGTGCACATCATCGATGACTTCACCAGGACTGCAAGTAACCATATGTGGCAATTAAGAAATAAAATAAATTAATGTGTTATTATTCCTTTGTAGGGACCTGGTGGATGAGGCAAAGAACTATCTTCTCCTTCCTCAAGAGCGCCCCCTCATGCAAGGACCTCGCACCCGACCACGCAAGCCTATCCGCTGTGGAGAAGTCCTGTTTGCTGGTAGGTGATTCCTCCTCAGCTGAATTGTGATTAATAAACAAAAGCCACACTGTTTTGTTTTGTATTGAATCTGCTGAAGCTCAAACTGTTCACGCTTTTATCAGTACATTACTGCATTTAGTGAGCCATGTGATCTGTGTTTGTACGTTTGTGTGAATCTCTTAGTAGGAGGATGGTGTAGTGGCGATGCCATTTCAAGTGTGGAGCGCTACGACCCCCAGACCAATGAGTGGAGAATGGTGGCATCAATGAGCAAGCGGCGTTGTGGAGTGGGTGTCAGTGTCCTGGACGATCTGCTATATGCTGTTGGTGGACACGATGGCTCGTCCTACCTGAACAGTGTGGAGAGGTGAGAACTGGATTTATGTACACCCAGATAAAATCATTTGTCTTATTTAATCTGAGTTGTGCCAAGTTTGTGTCAGATCTTCCTCAAATGAAATGTCATTAAATTAGAGGAGACTCATGGGAGGATAAACAAATAATCAGTGATTTGGTTTGAACTTTTTAACAGAGTTTGTATAAGAGAGGTTGCTTTTGGAGTAGTTGTTTAGTTTGTTTACCATTAAAGGGCCTAAACAACATTAGTGAATATGTTGTAAATGAAATGTACAGATGTCCCAGCCAACTATTGCAGTTTAATACGGTCCATAATATTGTTCTCGAATGTTTCATTAGAAAGCCACCTCAATGCTGCCATCTGCTGGTTCCTTTCAGGTATGACCCTAAGACTAACCAGTGGAGCAGTGATGTGGCGCCCACTAGTACATGCAGGACCAGTGTGGGTGTAGCCGTGTTAGGCGGTTATCTGTATGCTGTTGGTGGGCAGGATGGCGTCTCATGTCTCAACATAGTAGAAAGGTTGGTAGAGCAATAAGATTGCAAATAAATGGGTATATGTGTACATGCATATGTATTTTAGAATGGTGTCTCATTTGTCGTATTCTGAACTCACAGTGATTTGAGGGTTCAGAGTGTTTATTACAGATGAATGGTAAAGTTCTGCTCTGCTGCACAGGTATGACCCTAAGGAGAACAAATGGACCCGGGTGGCCTCCATGAGCACCCGCCGTTTAGGAGTGGCAGTAGCAGTTCTGGGAGGATTTCTCTATGCAGTTGGAGGCTCAGATGGCACGTCCCCCTTAAATACAGGTACACTTCATTTACAGCATAGCAAAGTACCCATCACAGTGGTTACATTTTGCATTCTGCTTCCTATGACATGATTATAATTAGGTTTTGCTCAGTATTAGGGCTGCACATTATATCATTTGTTAACGATATTGGCCATTGCAAATTATGGGCTGTGTGTAGGGGTGGGCAAGAGAAAGATTTTTTATCATTATCGTGATATGCCACAATACGCTTTTGTAAACATATAGTGGATACTGACTAACTCCATGTTTTATCACAAAGTAAGCATAATTAGGCCTGTTTAAGTGGATTTTGAAAAAAAGTGGAGTTTGAAAAACATTGAATAAAAAACACTGGTAGAACTATTATTATTCTTATAGTATGTTTATATGTGGCACTACAGGTGCTATTTTGTCTGTTTTAAATTATTAAATCAGAAAAACTAAATATTGTGATATATATCATGTCTTGAAAATGAAGTATTGTGACATAACATTTTTGCCATATCCCACCCCTAGCTGAGAGCACTCTGACCAATCACCGTTCCTGTCGTGTTTCTGTAGGTGTTTTGAAGAATCAAGATTGTCATGTAATCGAATATACTAATAATATAAACTGTATTTATTCAGTGTCCTTCATATGTGAAAATGTATGTACTTTGCAGTTCATTTTAAGAAATTCGCAAAATAGTTTAAGCAAAACAATTTATGGTCAAAAAGCATAAAAATAAAGAACATAGATTTACTGTAATAACAGTAAAAAGGTTAAACAAATAAGAAGCGTTAATAAAAACCAAAAGGAAATAATTAAATAATTTAATTAAAATAATTAGAACAATAATTTAAATAAGACTAAACTTATTTCTACATGAAAACAAGTACACATCCTCTGTAGACAACACACTTCTGCACATTTTAATGCATACTTACTGTTTGTTTGCTGACTTTAACATATTGAGGAAAAAAGTAAAAATACATCTTAATGTGGCCTGTGCTAAGTTATAGCACATTTTATGTATTTTTTTCAATGTGGTAAACTCAGCAAATAAATAGAAATTGTGCACTAAAATCTGTTCTCTGTAGAGGATGTGTTTAACTGATTATTTTCACTTAGAAAAGCAACATAACAAGTAATTGGACAAGTGCTGTTCAAGATTTTGCATGTGACTGTAAATAATATATGAAACATGTGGGAACACAGAAAAGACTGTCTTTCTAAAAGAAACATTGTTTTTCCACTGTTCTTGGTGCCTGTAGTGGAGAGGTATAACCCTCAGGAGAACCGCTGGCACACGGTGGCACCTATGGGCACACGGCGGAAACACCTGGGCTGCGCTGTCTATCAAGACATGATTTACTCGGTGGGTGGCCGGGACGACACCACAGAACTGAGCAGCGCCGAGAGATACAACCCCAGAACCAATCAGTGGTCTCCTGTGGTCGCCATGACGTCCAGACGGAGTGGGGTAAGCTTGGCTCTCCTGCAGTTTGGTCCAAACTTGCCTCGTGCTTAAGACCTCAGTATGTTCACTGTATATATTTTTGACGTTCATGTTCTAGGTTGGTTTAGCTGTTGTGAATGGCCAGTTGATGGCAGTAGGGGGATTTGATGGCACTACCTACTTAAAAACAATAGAAGTCTATGACCCTGATGCTAACACATGGAGGTAATTAGATAAATGTGAAACATTTAAAAGGATTACCAGCTGAGAACTATAACTAATCGGTTTTTCTTTCTTTTTTCAGGCTCTATGGTGGAATGAACTACAGGAGATTAGGAGGTGGGGTTGGGGTGATTAAAATGACTCACTGTGAATCACATATATGGTAATACACTCCACCATCCCTCAGCCCCCCATAGATGCCTCACCATAGCTTGTGCCTCTCATTGACACATTGTGATTCATGAATGAAAAAAGACTACATATGTAAGACTATTACATCTCAAGTCATTGAGATCGCTAAGCCAAGGATATCCATCTGCCACTCTTGTGTGGAGCTGATCTGTGAAGACTTTGATCTGTAGGGCTACAGTTCATCGTTCTTACCATAGTACCTACCGCTAGCCAAAGGCCAGTGTCTGTTCAAGAGATAAAACAGAGAAGCTCTGTCCCTGCAGTGCCACCCCTGTTACCAATAGAAGCAATGGTTGCATTTAAGGATACACTTCTCTGGAAGGATCTGTACTGCCAGTCCAGTTGTTTGACTTTTGCATCGCATTTGAAACTCCTAATGGTGACCTGAAGTTGGGAGAGTTGGCGTCACAGCCACCTGTTCATATGAATAGTAGATTGTCTGAATGGTGTTTTAATCTTACGAATTGGATGCACTGTGATACTTTTTTTCTTTTTCTTCCTTTTTCTAAAATATTTTCCCACCTGCCATAATTTGGCCCCACTGATCCAGTGATGCATGCTTTTTTTTGTACAGTGGTGCTCATGGAATTGTAGTAGATGGGACATACAAGCCTGTCTTTAGACACTGCAAATTAATGAAGTCCTCTGCATCAGTAAGCTGTTTTGCTGTTTGCATTTATTCCACAGGATGCATCACTGATTCAGTCTGTGCACTTTAACCCAAGACAAGTTCTTTTAGAAGGAAGTACGGTCACTGTTTTAAACACGGACATGTCAACTTTTAAAAAGGTTATTATGCATTTAGATTGCAAGTTTCTTAAGCAGTGGACCGTAGGCAGTTTTTTGAGACATTAAGAACAAACAGTTTTCAGTGTTGGCCTGCACACTTTGCATCTAAATGTTGAGACTAACTAAATAAAAGGGATGCAATGCATTTTGATCTGTTAAACTGTCATACTCTGCTTGTGGAAAAGGGGTTAAGGTGATAGAACGGTTCTGTTTTATCATGAAAGTATTTACATACAAACCCAATTCCAAAAAGTTGTTATATGCAAATAAAAACAAAAACAGCAGCGATTTGTAAATCTACTTTGATCTATATTTGAATGACAACAGTATTAAGATATGTAATGTTTTACCTTATCAACTTCATTGTGGTTTTTTTTTGTTTTTTCTTAATATAATTACGTGTTCATTTTAAAATTGATGCCTGCAACATGTTCCAAAAGAACTGGGGCAGGGACAATTAAGACTATTTTAAGACTGAAATGTTCAAGAACATCTTAAACAGGTGATGTAATAATGCTTAGATATAAAAAAGGAAAGGGCTGGGCAAAGATGTGTTAAAGCTCAGAAAAATGCATCCTGCAAAATTCCAGCAGTTTAAAAATTGCATGGACTGCAAGGATTTTAGGTATTTCACTTTCTATGCATCATCAAAAGATTCAGGGAATCCAAAGAAATCTCTGTGTAGAAAGTACAAAGCCAAAAACCACAAAATGAATGCCTGTGACCTTTCAACACCTCAGATGGCACTGCACTGAAAACCAGCATATTTCTCCGATGGATATCACCACATGGGCTTGGGAATACTTTGACAAACCATTGTCAATAAACACTGTCTGTCGCTGTACCCACAAATGCAAGTTAAGACTGTGCTATGCACACTGGAAGCCAAACATTAACAGTTTCCAGAAACGCTCTGACTTCCCTGGGCTCAGGCTCATTTGAAATGGATTGATGCATAGTGAAACATGTATTGTGGTTTGACAAGTCAGTCTTTCAAATTGTTTATTGAAATAATGGACATTGCAGGCTCTGCATTAAAGAAGAAACAGACCATCCAGATTTTTACCATATTTGTGAAAAAGCCATTAATGCTTCACACATTTTGGAGCATGCTGTCAGAACAAAACCTTGTATCTTCCATTTTTCAGTTTTTGACATATTTGAAAATGCCTGTTGCCCTTTACATTGCCCAGAATTACTTAGAAACAAGTCTGGTTACATTGACGTTTATTAAAAGCAAAGTGTTATTTTCCTTCTCTTGTAAAGTTACCATTTTGGAGGTACAAGGTTTTTCCCAACAGCAGCAAAATGCTGCCTTTTAGACACTTTTTCAGGAACGTCCACGATTATTTCACTATTAAGTGCTGTTAAAAGAAAAGATGATGTAATACAGTAGTTAACATGCTCTTGTCCCAACTTCTTTGGAATGTGTCATAGACATCAAATTATATTTAAACAATTGTTGTTCATATGGTAAAACAAATGTATTTTTGTACCATTTTCAATTTAATACTGGTCAAACAGAATTTACGCATCACTGCTTTCTGTTTCTATGTGCATTTCACATACTGTCCAAACCTTTTTGGATTTGGGTTTGTAGATATGAAATATTTTTACAGATGTTACTGAAATTGAATGAATCTTGATGTGAGAAGGTTGAGCATACAATTGTCTTGGTTTTAGCCTTGTTTTAAAGGATTTGAGGAATGTTCACATACATTTCATTTATTTTAATCAACAAATAGATGGCAAAAATAAAACAAAGAAATGAGACACTACTCAGCATGTCACAGAATAAAGTGTTGTCTTAAAAGCAATGTTATATCAAACAATTTACAGTGACTGATTAAAAAAAAAAGTGATTTCCCCTGTCTAATAATGAAATAATGAATACTCAATTACTGTCACTGCAAATGAATTAAGGTCTAATTTGCCTGTAGCCTGAAGTTAACAAACACAAGATATGTACATACTATGAAAAATAAATGAGTAAATGTTAACTATAAATGTACATGTTAAAAGGGCAGATGTGCAGCATTAAAAAGTGAAAGAATTAAACAGCAAGCGTAAATACATTCCTGGGCTTTCTAAAATAATTGCAAGCACATGATTTACATGCATTTAGGACTTTACAGTTGCCAGTCTTGATTTTGAGTGTAGAACACTTATGTTGTAATATTTCATGTCCTCATCAGCAGAATCCCATACAAGGCCCATCCAGATACAGTTCATTCCAAGTTTTATGTTCTGTGCATTAAGGCTTTACCTATTTTAAATAAAAGAGCAGTTACATATTTATGACTGAGAAAAACAAAAATAAATACAAAACTTAAGATTTGCAGTTTAGGATGTATACAAAATTGTATGCACTATTTATTCAGTAAAATAAACTATTCACAGATATAGAACAAAATAAAACAACTCAAACAGGTGTTTTCATGAGGGCACATTCCGTTAGCAGGGTCAGTAAGGTGGTGATGTAGTCACTGCTGCCAATCTGAAAAAGAAAAGTCCCAACCAAAGTTATTGTCACTGGTGTCTCTCATTAGGACTTCGATCTCAGGCATACAGTCATACAAGTCTGGACTGCATAAACAACAGTATTCCATGCACTCTCATATGTTTATTAAACACAATGAATGAAATATTTGTAGTTTTCAAATCACTACCTTGAATTACATCAAAGGAATACTCCAACATTTTCACCCCCAGCCTCCATCTTTCTATCATTTTCGCCAAAGATTACATCACAAAAACAGCATAATTAGCCCCGTTGAATGGATTTAATACAATTCAATGTGTGAAATGTTCAATAGAAATCATAATTGATAATTATAAGTTTGATATTTTAAAAATAAAAATGCTATCAAAATGACAGGGTTTACCAAAACTAAGAAGATGTATTATAGTACCATGATAAGATAAATTTTTTGCCACTCAGCAGTAACACTTACCACCTTCAATGTGGCATCAGTAAGGAGTAAGAGTATTTTAAGGGGTAGTATCTGGACTAAAAATGACCGATTGTGAATTCCTAACAACATAACTGCTTATATTAGCAAAATAACTGCAAATTACCTTTATTTTCCCATCATGATGTGCTGAACCAAGGGCAGTAGAGACCTTTGTGAGAGTCCCGGCAGAAAGGTAGATTTTAAAATGTCTGAAGAAGTGAATCTCCAGCCCATTCATAAAACGCTGGACCTCCTCAATATTGATTTGGTCATCTGCGCTGTCCTCTGTATGAATGCTATTCCATAGTTCCCAGGCGTCCTGCGGGTTGACTGTGTATGCAATGTCCAAAGGTGGCTGAGAGGGCATGTTCCAGGCCAACTTTAAGTATCTGATATTACTGCTGGGATGGCAGCCAGTCCACAAAGCAGCAAGCCAATTTAGTGTGGTGGAATTTAGACACAGTGAGCCAAAATTACAGTCGAACGTCCTCTCGAACCAGGACTTGACAAGAGTTGTAAGGTATTCCGGCCCACTGCTGCAAAACAAGGGCAAGCTAACAAAGTCAGGTGGCAGCGACCTCAGGTACTCTGGATCACCGTTAACACATGTCAGCCAACCACGCCACACTGCCTTTGGAGTATCCGCTGCAAATAAAGGCTTAGAATGTATCTGGGATATAAAGGAGAGAAAGCAGATCGACATCCATTCAGCTTCAATCATAACACTAATTTGCTAACAGTCAAAATAAAATTCCAAAGCTATTTTCAAATGTCAGCATTTTACATATATACAGTCTGGTTTAGTCACATTTGTGCATTCAGCGTATTCTATAATTCAGCATCAAACCAACTCAAATTGTGTTGAAATTTGAGAAATTTTAAATGTACTAAATTGTTTCCTAATCAAATAAAATTATGAGGTCAGAAATTTACACGCCTAGCATGCCTCCCAACATTTCACTGAAGTTCATACTGTATTTTTGTGGCCAAACTCACATGCATGAAAACAGTTTCAGCATCCTCCTCTGTCTCAGCCATTCCAAGAACAGCGGAGAACGTGACCTTAAAACCAGCCTCTAGTCCAACTTCAACTGCAACACCCTGCTGTTTCTCTGCTATGATGAAAGCAGCAAGGTGCTTGGAGTACAGTTTCAGCTGCGTGTGTCGAAATCGGTACAGAGGGGTGACATAGGACAGCTTCCATTCATTTTTGATCAAAAGAGCTACTTGCTCTGGGTCAACCTTAGTCTGTGAAGATATGAGGTTCAAACAAAATAACATTAGTTGTTCAATATGAAACAAACAAACAAAAAACATCTTAAACCAAGCTCCTTCCTTACTACAGCCTCATTTGTATCCTCGGTAGGTCAATCAATGTGTCATGCCCCACAAACTATGAAATTCTCTGTGTGACTATACTTCCATTTAAATGTACCAGTGTTGGCTTTCCTCATTACTTAAAACTGCCTCAGGTGTGCACAACTCTGGTCCTGGAGGGCCAAAGGCCAGCACAGTTTTGTGATTTCCCTGTTCAGTCACTCCTGGTTCAATTAATCTGTTAATTGCCATGTTTAGTGGGAGTGTTTTGAGTAGGACAACGGCCCTCTAGGACTGGAGATGCGTACCCCTGATTTACCTCACAGCGCAGAGGTCACCAACTTTTCTCCTGTAGATCTACTTTCCTGCAGTTTAGTTCCCACTTGCATCTGATAGGTTGGACAGGTTCTCAGGAGGAAGGTAAAACTCAAGGACCAGGATTGGTAACCCATGCTATAGATCATTCACTTTTTTTTTTTTCTTTTATCTGTTGCGAGTTTGATAAAGAGGCTATATAAATTAAGAATGCACGATAGTTGCTTAAAAAATTACCAGCATCACACCTTTTTTTTCATTAAATATTGAATTATTTATTGCATTTGGGAACAACAATGTTTAAATGACGCTAGGTTGCTATGCTAAAATGTATGCTTTTAAATAATTAACACATTTTATTTGTAGAAATAAGTGCTTTATTTTGCTTTTAGCGCTAATACTCCCAAATGGTTAATAGTTTCACATTTAAAAAATGTGTATATAGACACTGGCAGGTGTGTATATAAAACATGTATCAGTATAAGCTCACAGTTCCCACATCAGTGCATCCCTTTAACGATGGTTATTAGTAATGGTAGTGGTGTTATTTCCATTATAAGGAAACCATAAATGAAATATACATGGAAACTGCTTACAGTAATATTACGGGACTTAGCAGCCCTTCTGCTGGTTGGAATCCTGTGGCCGAGGGTGGTTAAGTGGCCCGGGGTCTGCCAGAAAAGGGACGGAGGCTCCACACAGCTTCGCCCGTAACTCTTGCTTCTTCTTGTAACAGGCCTGTGTGCTGGGGTATTCACAACACTGTGCAAAGCAGAAAAATGTGCCCATTTTACAGTCGCCATAAAGCACAGCGTTTCTTGAACGCTAACGTTAGTTCATCAGTTGTGAAAACAGAGCGCTTCGTGTATTAGCTAATTACCACTGTAAACGGCACGTAGCATAAAATATACGCATAATGGACTCAATTCATAATTTGCATATTATATCAATGGCGGAGATAAAAGTATATTGCTCTGGTTACTCTACTCTCATGGTTGTTAATGCTGAAGCTAGTCTTCGCGAATCTCCGGTCAACCAGTTAACGTTAGCACAATGCTAACTAGCCACACAAAGCAAAACACTAGCTACAACTTCAACACATAACCCTCTAATTTCTGCGGAACGACACCTAAATCGCGTACAGTGCGTTGCACTCCATCCATATAAAGTGTATTAAATGAAATAAGTAAAAGAAAGTCTACCTGTTTTGTCCCTCCATGACCGACCGCGCGCCGCCGAGGAGATGACCTGATTTGAACAGCCCGCGTTCCCATCATGCAGCCAGCTAGGAGAACTAATCAAGAGCTGAAAACATTTGACAGCGATTTCAGTCAGGGACTTGTTTTCAAATGAACTAAATTTAATATTTCAACATAAATATATTTATGTATATTGACTACATTGTCTTACTCGTTACTGTTAACTCTAAACCGTGGATTTCCCCATCCCAAATCGAACCGTCTTTGTCCTTTTATTAAATATCTTGTGAAGACTGTCCTCTTTAAGCAACACTTTTCTTTTTCCACTGCCTTAGTTTGTTTCTCTTTTTTGTTGTTAAAATTACTGTACTTATTCTAAAGCGCTTTTGCGATTGTGAAAGGAACAATATATATAAACCTGTTATTATTATTAAAGGGGCATTCCATCGATGTGTCTAAATGTCTGCAAAAATCATTAAGATGTAATCATTAAGATGTTTTTTTTTGTTTTTTTGAGAGAAAAAAATACAGGGTGTCAAGGCAAAAAAGTTATCCAAAGAAACTTTTTTCAGATTTACCACTATGTTCACCGTTATTATCAATACATATAAAATCACAGACGACACACGCAGGTTCAACGATCCTTTCGGGTCGCAAATAAAATGGCTTTTTAAATAAAAAAAATAATAATAATTAAACAAAATGACTATATTTGCATTGTAGATATCACAATCCCTGCTTCATGTCAACACCATTATAAAGAAATCATTGAGTTAGTAAGCCACGTCAAAGCACACTGAATAACTTTGTTTACATTTCGATGACCGAGTAATACAGACTTTTTGAAAGATGGGTGGATTTAGCCGCTTTCGTATTGATGTCAGAATGGTAAAGGCTCGATTAAATCTGAGAGTGATTAGTCGAGTCCGAGAATGACACGGTAAACGCGCCCGTTCAGCGTGTGGATGCAGAAGTTTTCGTATGTGTGTATGTTTTCTGTTGTTAAATTAGAACACCTCGTCGCACTTGACCTGATATCTTATTTGAGTAAGCTGGTTATTCATCTCTGACGTTAAATGTTGTGAATACGGACACACACGTCGCAGGCTTTGGCTAAAAGGGCTAAGAGAGAATGTGGAAATGGAAGGTGACCGTGCTGGTGGTGGAGTCTAGCTGACTGACTCGGGCTCTTTCATTCAAACACTGAGTTATAGCTCTCTCTGTTAGCTGTCATTTAATTACATGTCACTGTGGCTTACAGTGCTTTACAACTGTATAATTGTCAACTTTTTTCATATTCGTGGTCAGTTTAGGCGGTTCTTCCCTCTCTGAGCTATAAGGAAGTTAAGCGCTAGAATAAATTTTGCTGACAACTGGTCAAGCATTGTAAGTAAATGACGATACCTAAATGTTTACCTTCGTGTACAGTGATAGCACGATCTTTCTCTCTAATCGCACACTAACATCTTTCGATAATGACACATAAACATACATTTTTACTGCTGAGAGCAGCTCGTCACATTTTTCGACATCCACGCCACAGACCGTGTGTGTTAAACAGGAGAGCTTTATTTGTATCCACGCAGCAGATTTATTCTTCAAAAGCTCCGCCTTTCAGCACCACTACATCCTTCAGACATGCTGCCAGTTTCACTTCAGGTAACTAAACACAAAAATCAACACTGTTTTGTACTATTAAAGCTTCTCAGTGTTGCTGAAGAATGTCACTGTCTGATTTGTAGGACAAAGCAGTTTGTCCATACGAAGTCACACATGTGGAGAGCTGCGTTCCAGTCATATAGGAGAGGAGGTCACGTTGTGCGGATGGGTTCAGTACCTGAGGTTTGATAAGTTGCTGTTTCAAGTCAACATGAATTCAGAATTGACTAGTTTATGTCCCTGTTATGTTAACCAGGCGTCATTGTGCAATAACATTTAAAAGACGAAATTCATGTTTTCTTGAAATCTTTCATCAAAGCCTTGCAAACGTATTCTGACTTTTGATTATGTCACTGTGCACCAGCGGGTAGGGAAAAATATCAACCAGTATCATGTTTAGGGTTGGGATGACATGGAATACAATGTATTTAGAACACAGAAATTAAGTATCTGTATTCAGTTCAAGTTACATTTTGTAAAGACCGTAGTCAAAACACAGCCACTTTTTACATTTTAGGAGAATATTTTAGAATGCTTACTAAATAAACAAAACACACAATATTCAAAAGAAACACCATGAAAACTTGTTTATGATTTTTTTTTAGAATCAGCGCAAAACATGTAGTAAATATGCTTGTTAGATGAGCTCTAAAGAGGACCTCAAATAACGACTTCCTCACAAACACTGAAGTTCGTACTAAAGCCTGAGTAAACTGATAAATCAGTGTGATGATCAGTTATAAGTGTCAGTGTTACTGAGCTCAAAGGTATGATCAAACTAATAATCTTCTCAGGAGTGGACATGTTTGCTAGTGATAAGTTTAGCATTGGTATTGTACTGGACATCTGTTCAGGGGATTGTGGGAGCAGCAGTAGACTGAAGCAGGTGGTGAATAATCTTAAAATCTCTTACTTCTTTTTTAAATGATAAAGATTTTTTTCAAGAAACATATTAACAAAATAATTACATGAAGAAAACTACCATCCAGTGAAAATGAGGAACAGTATGAATTAAGGGAAAAAAAATCCATCTGGCTTACCAAGATGTATTGTAAGTGTATTCTAAATGTCTTCTGAATACATTCCTTTTTTAAGTATTGGAATCCGTTACTTAATGCTTTTTGACACGTCCTTCACCAAGTTTTGTTGGATTTCTCTTTGAAAACTCTTTTAAGGCGCTCACACACAAATTAATTTGCTTGTGGGGGTCTGAAACACAACCCATGTCACAAAATGTTCTTCTGCACATTCGTGCAATTACACATTTCCACCAGAGAGGTCTCCAAATTCCCAAAACTTACAGAGTGTAGCTTTATGAATCAGGCACCCAACATGTTTTGGCTGATATTTCTGTGAACTTTTGCTTTAAAATTATGTTGGCATATGAAGTAGTTTCTTTTTTTCCTTTTGAAATACCAGACAGGATCTGTTTGTGATTTTGAGGGACTTCAGTGGATTGGTGCAAGTTCTTATCCCACAGGATGAGGTAGCAGCACAGCACTCTTTATTTTACGTTTATTGCATCAAATTAATCATATTTTTAAATAATTGTCATCTGTAAAGCTGCTGGATGTCCTCAGCCTGAGCTCTTTGTTTTTCCTTTATTTCAGTCCAAGCAAGAACTGAAGAATGCTTTCTGCAGGTTATCTGTTGAGTCGGTCGTCATGATCAAAGGAAGGGTCAGGCCTCGTCCAGCTGGCCAGGAAAATAAGGTCTGTCTTATGGGCTTAGGGCTGAAATATTGTTCATTTTAATATCATTTACATTAGTTTTTAAGTCACAATTTAAAAGAGTGTAATTTTCAAGTCACCAGTGCTGCAATTTTAATAGTAGTTTTCATTATCAATAATGTTGTCTTAACCAGGGGACATTTAACCTAATAACTCAGAGCTTGTGAACAGATGACAACACAGCTACCAGTAACTGGTGGTCAGGCACACTATGTTCCTGTACCACAGTGTGTATCAGTACTGTCTAAAATATCACATTTCCAACAGAATGCGCTCTTACGGTGCACCCAAGTGTTACTAATCTGCAATGAAATGAAATTAATACTCAGAAGTACAGTATCTGTCAAAAATAATCACGGTTGTCAGTTTTAACATAATTGCACAGCCCTGGAACACAGACCCATTTTCAACATTCTTAAGCATAAAGTACCAAGCCAACCAAAAATGACAAGCTTTTGCGAAGCCGACTATTGCATGTGTTGTCCTGAATTTCAGAACATGTCCACAGGAGAAATTGAAGTGTGTGCTGAGAGCATGGAAGTGCTGAACACCTGCCGGAAATTGCCTTTTGAGATTAAAGACTTTGTCAAGGTAAGATTTGTAATATCCTTGTATATTACAATGGAAGCACATTTTATACGTTTTCTGAAAACTTTCCTTTGTGTCCTTTAATGTTTATGGGGAATTAGCATTCAACGTTTTCTCATTAGCATGCAGCTTGTGCGTTTCACTGCAGTGTTCTACAATACAATGTGATTCTGCGTTTCTGCTGCAGAGAGTTATTGAAAAACAAAAGTTGTAGACTTTTTAATCTGTAGAAGTTTGGTATTGATTTAAATCCTTGGGGAAATGTGCTTGAGCATGTTGCTACAACATGATCCGATCCTGATGCATCTAAAGCTGTTTGTGTTTTCTCTTGGCAGAAATCTGAGGCTCTCCGGATGCAATATAGGTATCTTGACCTTCGCTCATCTCAAATGCAATACAATCTGAGACTGCGATCACAGCTTGTGATGAAAATGAGAGAGTACCTTTGCAATTTGCATGGTAGGTGCAAAACTCTTCATTCTTCAGTCTACGTTTGAATTTGGGATGTAGAGTACATAATGGAATCATCAATAAAATTATTTTATTCATTTTATTGTAGGATTTGTAGATGTGGAGACCCCAACATTGTTTAAAAGGACTCCAGGGGTAAGTTTCCTCTCTTCCTGTTTAATTGATCTGATCCGTTAAACTGATGCTATTAAAAGTCAGATAGGAACCCTTCTAAAATATCAGTATGTATACAGTTACAGTACTAGGAATGTGCATTGTGACTAATTTTGATATTATATACCGAAGAAAAAGAAACAAGATTTTTGTCTAATTTTAATGTATAATAGTTCTTACTCATAATACACAAAACCATAAACTGATAAGCTGGTGCTGGGAAGCAAATATCATACAAATCAAGCAAACATGTTTTATTATTCACAAATAGCCAAGGAAAATAGGTCACTGCGGATTGAACCGGTAGTCTGATAGGGTAACAGGCAGGGTTGGGATAGCTACTGAAAAATTAGTAGCTAGGTACTCTCTAGCTACTTTCCCCAAATTTGTAGCCAGCTACAATTTAGCTACTTTTCCAGAAAAAGTAGTGGCTACTTTTTTAGCTACTTTTTGAAAAGTAGTGCACTACTTTTTACCTACTTTCAAAACGTGATTGTCAGAATGTTTGTGAATCTCCACCTGACACACCAAACAAGCCCAACTGAAAGTGTGAACAAGACACTGCATTTAATCAGGTGCCAGAAAGAAACGTATAATTGAAAAGCTGCAATATACAAAAAGATCACCAAAAAGTCAGTGTAAATGTAACCAGCAATCAAATCCAACAAAAATGTAGACTAAGTAAAAGCAAAGTCAATCATTCCAGATGTTTCCTAACAAAAATCAACAAAAATAAACGCATACAAACCAAACAGTTTTGTGCAAAGCACTGTCAACTGTTGAAATAAAAGTGCTCCAATTTAAACATTTCAGCAAGATATGTACAGACATGACATTCAGAGTCCTTTGTTAAACTTCAGCAACACTTTAGCTCCAAAATTCTAATCGTGACCCTGACTCTACGGAGTACAATTAGTTATAGTCTTTTAGGAAAATGTTTTTTCCATTTTAGCTAAGCCAGGGGTCGGCAACACGTGGCCCTTTTACTGCCCTGTTGTGGCTCCACAGCAGAACTAACACTGGAGTTAGCATAACTGCTAATTCATCGACCTTTAGTGCTGATGACTGACGCGCAGGCTGCTGGTCACACAGCAACTGAGATAACAGTCTCATCTAGCTTGTAGCTAAAGAAACGGCAAAGAGAAAGATTTAAGACGAACTGATACGTTTAATCTGCAACGAGAAAGCTAAAGCTAGTTTCTCTTTCGAATTGTCCCGTTCCACCTTAAATGGCGCAGCAGTACATTCTGGCTCCTCAGGCACCATTTAAGGTGGAACGGGACGATTCGAACAAGAACCTGGTGAATGAGAAGCGGCTTCAGCCTTGTAAAAAGTCAAACATTAAGAGACAATTACAAGATACTCTACTTTCGCGGAAAACTTTCCTGACTGAGATGGGAGAAAAGCGGCTACAGCTGACTTAAAGGTTAAAGCAGAGCAAAGTAAGTATGTGTTTTTGTTTATATTTTTAGCCTGTACTAGCACATCAGTACGTACTGAGACATATTTACAGCCGAGATGGTAAAACGGACATAAAATGTTGTGGCTCCCACGGTTTCATTTCTGTTGAAAGGACAAAATGGCTCTTCTTAACATTTCGGTTGCCGACCCCTGAGCTAAGGCTACTAGTAAGGGGTGAGCAGTGCGTGGGGCCAGCGTGTCACCATTTGCACCAGTTAATGACCGTGTTCCATGGTGAGATTTGTTTTCTCATCAGTGGATGATGTGCCAACATATTAGTTGGTCGTGGTAACACTGTGGGCAGAGAAATATTTTTTAATGGGCCTGTTTGACCAATATCTTCCTAAGTTTTTTCTTAAAGTTGTTCTTGAGAAAGGTCCTAAGAAAAAGTCTGTGTCAGATTCATGACACGTTCTTAAGCCACAGAATTATTTGCACCTTTGTGCTCTTGAGTGTGAGTAGATTCTGTTCTTACCTAAAAACAAATCCCAAATAAGAAAACAGTGGTGAATGTCAGAAACTTCGTGAAAACTGTGTAAGTGGGTTTTAAAAAGAAAATTCTTCTCACGAATGGTTGGTTAATGAAGCCCATTGTTTTTAGTTCTGTGCCAGCTAGAATAGTTAGCCTTATTACAGACTCACTTGCTCTGTTTTGTACATAAAATCAGCCTGAATTGGAAATCATAACGTATTTTCCTTTTATACTGTAATGAATTTCTGAGTGAACGGGAGGTTCTTTAAATTAGCTGAGCATTTAAATCAATAATAGGCAGGGGTAGTGGGAGGGGGAACGTGAATGTGATATTATTTAAAATAAAAAGGCAAAATTCAATACACTTCGATCAAAGATTACGAGAACACAAAGTCTGGTCAGTTTTGATTTAAGGTTGACTTAAACAGCATGTCTTTGTCAACACATCCTTGGCAATTTGCTTACATTAAAGAACTTGTGGTATGTTGTAGCAAAGTATAATATACATACTTAATTGCTAATACGAGCAAAACTGCTGCACTGCACAGCCATGTTAAAACATAAAGGTGTTTCACTGGATTGTTGGTTGTATATTTTCTCCCTTACTTTCTGCAATAAATTAATACCCAATAGTGATTTCAGTATTTGAAAACTGGCACCCAGAATGGTTAACTGAGTACCGTATATAGTACACAGCTGACTGTATATATATTTTTTAAAAATATAGTTTGATTTAAATCTTGTTCTTAAGTGCTTGAAATTTGTTTTTAAGAAAAATATAAATAGTAAATGTAATGCTGTAGGTGGGATCTCATGAAGTAAAAAAACTTCTAAATAAAGTCTAGAAGAAAGACTGATACTGTATCTGGTTGGTTTAAATATGATGTACTCACTTTGTGTGTAGACTTTATTATATAGTATAGACTATATATTCTGTCATAGTTTTTCAGTTTATTTACATTTATGCTGCAGGGCACATTATATTGTCTCTCAAACAATTATGCGTTCCTCTAAGATCTCATTTCTTTTTAATGTTGTAATATGTATTGGATAGTCTGTAGCATTTGAGAGGCATTAAGGCTGTATTCAAATTCAGCTGTCACTCTATTTCTCAGGGCGCCAAAGAGTTTGTGGTGCCGTCTGGAGAAGCAGGGAAGTTTTACTGTCTCCCGCAGAGCCCGCAGCAGTTCAAACAGCTTCTGATGGTGGCAGGTCTAGATCGGTAAGAATAGACCTGCTTCAGTGGGCTATAACCTGAATAACTTTCACATTTTTTGTCATAGTCAAACAGCCATCAACGCTTTTATCTGAAGTGGGTCATGCAAACATTGCTGCTTGTTCATTTCCCTGGCCCTCTTAAAGGAGCATTTAGATTTAGTCTGAGATGTCTGACTTAAAGAGGTTACAGGACTGACGCACACCCACACACACGCTTACACGTATTTGTCTTTTTGACTGCTGTAATCTCAGATACTTTCAGCTGGCACGCTGCTACAGAGACGAAGGCTCCAAACCCGACAGACAGCCTGAATTCACACAGGTAAGGATGTGACAAACAGCAAGATCAGCCGTTCGGAGAGTTTGAGAGTGCACAACGGAATGGAGTTTGACCTGGATGCCGATGAATGCCAAGTTGGCTTTTAATGATGTGTCTCTCTCTGCCGCCCACACACGCTGCTCGCCCTGCTAATAGGCTTCTCAGGAAACTCAGTCAGAATGAAAAAAAGGCAGAAAAGCCTAGACCTCAGTCAGCCTCGTCTGCCTCTATAACATCTCCGTGTCTGCCTACGCAGGTGGACATTGAGATGTCCTTCGTGGAGCAGGCCGGAATCAGGGCTTTGATTGAGGGCTTGCTGCAGTATTCCTGGCCTGAAGACAAAGAGCCGCTCAGCATCCCCTTCCCCTGCATGACCTATGAGGAGGCCATGAGGGATTACGGTGTAGACAAACCTGACACTCGATTTGGAATGAAGGTACATTTGCTTTTCAGTAGTGAGCTCCTCAAGTGGATGAACAAATAAGTAAAAAGGCCCTTTAATACATACAAATGTACATTCTTGGTGTGTGTAAATAAGAATATTTAAGATTGTATGTGGAAATATTAAATGAACAGCAAATGCTAAGAAATTGAATACATGTGTTTTCAGCTGCACTTTACACAAACTAGTAATGATGGGTGTCTGACAAATATCAACAAGTAAAGAGTTGGTGCACAGTAGCAGAAAGCTGCTTTAGTGGTATAACTATCAGCAGTGCAAGTAGGGAAATAGCACCGCTGGCCATAGCACAGGGGTTTCCACCCCACCCCCTAAATTGGCTTTGTTGGACTTGAACAAGAAAAAAAATAAAAGAAAGCTGAAAACACATTTATTGAGAAACATAATGGGTCTTACGGAAACAAAAGTTGGCTAACATAACTTCTTCCTGGTGCTATAACACCTTAAGAGGGCAGCAGGGAGTTAAATTTGAACTCAAGATGTGCCATCATTTGGGAGCTAAACAAGACTCTTGGATAGTTTGGTGGAGACGTAGTAATAACGAGCAAACAAACCATTTATAGTTTCAGGAGGCCAATCCAGCACTTTTGCACTGGAACCTGTAAGACCCTAGTTACACCACTGAGCTGCTTCACCAGTCTTAATTCTTCGAATGTTCGACAAGCTAAAATTTGATCTGGAACATAGTCTACTAGGATTTCTGATATTTATGAAGGTTCTACCCCAATAAAAGCAGTAAAACACTTTTGCAATTAATTCTAAAAGAAACAGGTAGCCAGTCGTGCAGTGATGGTAAAGCTGAAATGTGTCCTCATGTGTCTACAATGTGAATTGTCTTTGTTTCTGATTCTCAAAGTGTTCAGAAGGTCCATTATTGTATAAATTTGTAGACTGACAAAGCCCTTGCTTCTGTATGTATAGCTGGTGGATGTCACAGAGACATTCCAGGACACACAGATTGAGTTCATCAGGGAAGCCATCATCCAGCCAGGTGGCTGTGTCCAGGCCATCTGTGTTTCAGAAGGAGCTGTGAGTAGAAGATGAGACCTCTGCTCTCACTTTTTCTCCTCAAAAGCTGAGTCATCCCATACCTATTCGAATTATTTCCAGCCACTATGTGAATGCTCTTCAACAGGGGGTCCGTAGATAAAGTATGGTGCAAAAGTCAGAGACCACCCTTCATTTATTATTTATTTGCTTTCCTATCAAAACAGCCATTACAAATGTGTGGAGGGAAAAAAGCAGAAAATTACAAAATTATGAAATATAAAATAATTTTTCAGTGTTTAGTGTGTCCACCCTTTGCCTTTTTTACAGCTTCTTTGCAGCTACATGTCTTTTCAGTTCCATAGCATTGATTTGTCTTCTCACAGTGGAAGGATGAACAGAAACACCTGTGGATTTTTTCAGATCTGAAGCAAAAGTGGAGGTTGATTTTCTCCTCTCTCTCAAAGATCATTTTCTCTTGATCATTCATAGATGAAAGTTTTAGGTACTGTTCATCTGAGGGTGAAGGTTTTGGTGGTCTACAAGATCTTGCATGATTGTTGAGTCCCATTTTCTCTATTTCTTTTAATCATTTTTTCAACCAGTTTCAAAAAATGATTAAAAATTTTCGTTTGTCCTATTTTTCATTTATTTTTCGCCGACTTTCCCCTTTCTGGATTATATGATATGTAATCTCTCCAGAAATATCTTCTGAAAATTAAATAACTTGTACTTAATGGATGTTTTGACTGGAAATTAAATAAATGAAGGGTGGTCTCTGACATTTGCACAGTATAGCTTAAAATTCAGAGAAAAAGAATATTATTCAGACACTTTTTTTGTTAATTAAGGTACAAACAATGTAAATGTATCCTTAAAGGTACAACCGATGTTCTCAAGATGTTTTAGAGGTACGCTACATTCACCTTCCCAGGAGAAAGGTGCATATTTGTACTTTTTTAAAATAACCTATTTTAAAAAAATACCTTTGATGGTACCATCCCAGTGGTAGTTTCATATCTTTTTTGAGAGTGTTTTTGATTTGTTTTTGGTCTCTTTAAAGGCTTGCTGCTGCTTCATTGTATATTTTATATATTTTGCTGAAACAGAATTTAGTGTATCTAAATTATAAATATATTTAAATATTGCCAGTTTTGAATCATACAGGGATCAGTGTACACTGTTTTGCAAACTTATACATGCAAGGATTTCTGCAGTGTTAAGATGGTGCTAATGTAAATGCATTCTCTTAGACATCTTACAAACATTTACAAAAACTGCCATGAATCTCCACATTTTGTAAGTGACACATGAGAGTAAACACAGGAGCTTTGCTTGAAACTGATTTGCATGTGGTATTTGCATTTTCAGAAGCACTTGAAGGGCAAGGACGTGGAGTTACTGCAGCAAGCAGCCAAGACTCAATTCAACCAGGTAAGTTCCCCTTTTTCCTCCTTCTCTCTCTCCCTCCGTCTCCCTCATTCCTTATTTCTATCTTCCATCTCTCTCTCTCCATTACAGAAGCATCACCAGCACTTAGAATGCACACAGCAGCAGAGATACAGACAGCTCTCATGAAATATTTATCTGAAAGGTAATCCATAAGGCAGGATTATAGTGAGGTAAAAGCGTCAGGCACAGCATACGGTGTACTTACCCCCAGGCAATGGTAGACCTCACTACAGGGCCGAGTCTCAACCCATAGTAGAGGCCCCTCGTGCGTGGTTTGAAAAAGAATGATAAATTCATCGCATCTCTTCGTCTCCATTACGCACACACAAATGACAAACGTGCGCCAGTAATTTGTAGTCCATGGCCTGTTTTGTTGAATAATTAATTAATAGGTGATAATGATTCCTCCTTTTGTAATTATCTGTTGGTAATGAGATGGTAATTATACAGGGGGTTGGGGGGGGGCTGCTAATGCCACGTTGAAGATGTTTAGGGAATATATAGTGCAAAGTCTGCTTGTGGAGAATCGACTAATGCATTGTTTAGTTTCAAACCTAATCTGTCAAGTGTATGACACATGCAGGACGGCTTATATATCATTCACTGATAAATGGGAAAATTGATTTATTATCATTCCCTATCAGAATCAACACTCAATAAACTGATATCCCATTTGTGCTTGGCACACATGCAGCCACTAATGGTGAGCATTTCTGTTATTTTCAAACCTAATGAAATAGATTACATACTGGATAACATCTGGCCTGGGGAAGACTCCCTAGATTGTAAGATAAAGTCTCTTGGCCCAAGAAGATTCCTTAGGTGAACAATAATAAACCTTGCATAGCTTTTCAATGATTCCAAAAAGATAAAGTAGGAAGCCTTCAAAAAGGCTTCATTTAAATATACATAGAAAAACATATACATAGATTTAGTGCAAGGGCTTATAGCATCTGAGAAAATTATATTTAAAAGCTGGGCAGTAAGCCTTTTTTGCTGAGAAAAACATTAATATTAGTACAAACAACATTTAATACTCGAATTTTATGTATGTCATTGTGTTTGCTTAACTATTTCCAAACCTATCATCAAGGAAGCCCAGTATTATTTGAAGTTATCATTTGGCGAATCAGTTCTTCATGAAATAAAATCATGCTGTGGCTGGAATTTAACAAATATATGCAATGGCTGTAGGGGGAAATCTGACAACAGACTTCGGTATTTCTAATAGGCTCATAAGACTACTTTTTTTTATAAGCAAGAAATTCTTGTTACCTTTTACAGCACTTATTCTAATGTTATGTGGTGTTTTTTCAAGCAAAAACACATTTATTGTCCAATTAAATGGTTTTAAAAATTTGCTTAGGTCCCTAAGACTTTTGCACAGTACTGTATATAAAATGTGACAAAAGATGTGCTAAATATGTAAATGCTAACAGATTCTAAATGCTAACAATAATTGGTTTGTCTCGTAGTGTGAGATAATACATGCAATATTGTTATCAGTACTGGCCACAAGAAAGTTTTAATTATCATTTGTGGTTATCAGCCCTGAAATTCTAAGTCGGGCCTCATCCAGCTATTCAATATCTTCTGTTATCAGAATTGGCCACAAGAAAGTGGTTATTATTGGTTATAGTTATCTAGCCTAAAGTTCCGTATTGGTGTTTCTCCTCAGGATCTTCAGGCACCTTTTAATGTGTCCATTTAGACTTTGAGCTAAACAAGGTTAGGCAGTAGATCTCCAGGAGCAAACATGGATATCCCTGGTGTAATGGGTTATTCATGTGCAAAACTGAAGGTATTGATTAATGTCAAATAAGGTGAAGAGAGGAGGTTTTGGCAACATTTGCCACAGATCTTGAGCAAAACAAAGGAAGAAAGTCAGAGGTAGAATGTTGATAAATTTGGTGGAAAAGTTTATATATATTTATATAGTATAAAACAAATTGTGCATTTGGAATAGACACCAGTCTTTTGGATTTGAGAGGATTTTATATGCAGTGATTTTGCAGCTGTGATCCATGATCTAAATTTGGATGAACCTTAGTTCAATTCCAAAATGCTTCATAATCACTCAAAGCCTCTTCAACACTGAATTAAACTTTATTTGCTCAATAAGAATTCAGACATGAGTGCATGTTTAACAGCATCTATTTTTACAGAGTGAGTGGGGCGACAGTGAACCTTGTAGAATAGAACAGTAAGCCAAGTTGGCAGTGGACAGAATAAGCTTGTGCCAGTGTAATCTGTACATTACCAGTGCAGCCTTTGAAAGCATTTTAGAAGTTTTTTTTCTTAAATCAAAATAAGTGAATCTCTCAAATGACTAATCAAACTTGCGTGACTAAGTCTAACTAACTTCAGCATCTTAAATACGGAAATATTAAGTGCATCTTTGATACTTTTTTATGTTGCGGCTCCGGGATCTGTGATGGGCGGCATGGAGCCCCAGTGATTTGACACGGAACGACTCTAGTGTCTGTTTCATCTTATTCACTCAGTGCCCCTGGCATTTCTGTCTGAAGTGAGTCATACAAAGATGCGCTGTCTCGTTTCATTTCTGCGCTTTATGTCGACTTATCAAGTGCGCTGTTCACAAAGTAAAGTAACGCGTTCTCTGTTTCTCCAAGAAAGAGCAGTCTATTAGTATAAAAGATGCTCTGTGTTTCATGTTCAGTTTAAGAACTGTTTGTGCAAGATAAAAAAAAAAAACACTTTGGCACATAGAAAAAAAAAACTTTGCAAGTTTTTGCAAATGTGGTATCCTACATTAATAGCACATCAGTCATCATTTATGTTTATGAGTGGGTATACCACTGTTTTGCAATGGTTTGCCGTAAGTAAATCACTAAATGCACTTGTAAAAAAAATTTACCCGTATGATACCCATGATATACTCTATTGTCATTTATCACAGTAATGTTAACATATTGTCAGATTGCCCATCCCTAGTGTGCAGTGTGTTGTGTGTTGTGTGTTGTATGTTTTACCATAGGGCTTCATCTTGGAGACCTGCTGCCCTGCAGGTATATCAGGTATTCTCTGCTTCATTGCACCTGATCCAGTTCATGAAGGGCTTGATAATTAGCTGATGGGCTGGATCAGGTGTGTTGAGGCAGGGAATAGTTGAAACTGTGCAGGGCAGGGGGTCCCCAGGACTGGAGTTGCAAACCACTGTTGTAGGAGGCTTTGTGTGTCACTGCCCTGGGTTTGCTGTGATTAAGTATGGCCTGCTGGCTGCAGTGGCTGAGAACTGTGTCTCTGTCCTGTGCTGTGTAGGAGGTGAGCAGCGTGCTGGTCAGGGCAGACGGCTCGTGGAAGTCTCCTCTCAGCCGGCTGATGTCGGACACGGCCAGGCAGCACCTGCTGCAGACGACTCACGCTAACACTGGAGACCTGCTGCTCATCGCTGCTGGAGCCCAGGAGCGGGTGGTGCGTAGCACCTGAACTAGACCACACACACTCATCACACTGACATAAGCCGATTTAGTTTCATTAGTGCTCAGAGAAACATGTCATCTGCCCGTTAGTGCTCCACAAAATATGTCATACAGCTGCTGGACTTCAAATACTAATTTAATGGAAAAATTACCCTGCTTTTGTTTTTTTAATTATGTACACATTGTTAAAGTTTCAGAACATCCCATTTACTTTTCCTGTCTATACAGCCCACATATGGAATGGAAGCTGCAAAAACAGCACATTTTGAATTCCACATGGTTGTGACATAACACAAACACATTTACATATAATGCTTTTGAAACAAGACACATTACAGGGCACTTGTGAAGGGGTCAGCTAATCAGAACAGAGGCCATTTACATATATTAATTTTAAAGGCATAGTAGCATTCTGTGAATTCTAATTCAGGTTGAGGACACAGTAATGTAAAAATGAGTTACTGTTGGTTTTGCTGCATAAAACCCCAAAATGTTATAAGGGAAAAATAAGAAAAATGTTTATTTTATATGGCCCCATAAAAATATGGCTTATGGCTTACTACAATATGTTAAAGGACTTTGTTTCACTTAATAGAATTTTTTACAGTTGGCCATGATTGACCATGGCATAAAACTATCCCGTCAACAGTTCTGCAGAACTACCTATACTGTCAGCGGTTCTATAGAGCTTCCTACCCATCAACCGTTCTTTAGAACTGAAAGATTGTATCTGCTCTCTGACAATACTGATGGAGGAACTATTCTGCACAAACACTGGACTCATCAAGAGTTGCTTATTGATACGATGTGATCCAGCTGAAGCTATGAGGCAAAATAACTAAAACTCCCGGTTTCTACCAAAACATCCTCTTGACCTCAACTGCCGGCCTGTCATTTCAGTTAGTTCACAAAGGCACATCCACCCCTGAATGACTGATGACTAAGAGAGGCAGAAATCTGATGGAAGGTAAAAGCTGACATTATCCAATCGCTTTCTTTTGAAAGTGTTTTTCTCTCGCTCAGAGCTGGTGCAGATGGTGTGCTTGGCGCCGGGCAAGCTAACTGTTTAGTCACAAAGCACAGATCTGTGGCAATGGCTGAGGATCAGTGGCAGCCTCTGTGATTGGAGGCTGTGGAAGGAATTACAATGCCACTGTGCAAAGCACATACCTCTGGGAAACCGGAGAGGAGTTTTCCCAAAATCTTTTGCTTTTTATGGTAAAGGTGTACCAAGTAACCATAATTGTACCATATTTGAAAATATATTTGGTAGATGACCTCATATCCCGATGGGACGAGAGCAGCAAAAGTGTTACCCTGACCATTACATTATAAGAGTTTTACATGGACACATGAAACATTCTTATTACCTACTACCAGTAAATAATATTGTTGTTTTCTTATACCTTAGCACCAGGAAGCCAATTATGTTGACCTCCTTTTGAGAACATTGCTCATGTACAAGGTTAATATTTCTACTGGCGTCCCCCTGTTAAAACAGCATTAGTGAAACTAAACTGTTTTGTCATCCGGTTCTTTTCTTTATTTGAAGCAATTATAAGGATACCCTGGTGCGTAGGGCTGTAGCACAGTCTTATGGTGATATGGTCCCTTGGCACAAGTATTCCAAGGTTGAAAATGCTGTTATGATGGCATTTCACTCATTTGAAAACGTATTTTTTTTTGGGGGGTTTTTTTCCGTAACACATAATTAGATAATTTCATATATGCCTTCAGTTTGGTATTTGACATTTGGGCCCATCTAATCGACAGAATGAGTATTATATTACAATTACACTATACTAATTGCTGGTTTATTAGGTATATGGATATACAGTTTTTTGAAAAACACCTGCCACATACAGTACTGTGAGTTGTTTGTTTAACAAGGACCTATTGTGCTTTTCCGGTTTTCCCTTTCCTTTAGAGTGCTACATAGCTTTTTGTGCATGTAAACAGAAAAGTTACAAAGCCCAAAGTACACACCAGAGAGTGTAACTCTCTCCCATGGAAACTTTTTTCAGCTGCCTGATAGAAGTTGGAATTCCAGCCCTTTTCCTATGTTACAAGACGACGGAATCTCTTGACACAATCCTTATTGGCCACCTACCGGCAAGCTTGGCATACCCTCACACTATGCACAGCAACTACTGGAGGCCAGAAAGAATTTGTTCTGACTTTCAGGATCAGACTCTGGCTCAAACTGATTCGGTGGAATCAACGCCATTGTAAGAATAGTCACAGCAGTGTTTACAGCTGCTCAGGAGAGAAGGGTCTGTCTGCTAACTTCAAGACAGGGGTGAGACTTGTAGCAGGATGCTTCTACTGCTTTCAACCGCTCTGGTGGCTGACCAGTCAGAACAGAGTGGGTGATGTGACCAATCAGAGTACACATCAGGAGGGGGGCTTAGAGACACAGGAGCTCTCACAAAGCATTTCAGATAGAGGGTGACTAGAGATGTATAGTATGAGAAAATGTGTTTCTGGAATATGTAAATCTATTGTAGTAGACCCCAAAAATAAATTTATGAACACCGAAAATGTGCATAATCTCAATAAAAGGTCCTCTTTAATTTCTAGTCCAAACAGCCATTAAATGCAGGTTTTTCAGCTTAAGGAAAAAATATTTTTGGGAGACATGCTTTCAGTTTCAGTCTTAGAAGCTAGTTGCATTTTCTGCTTCTCAGAGAAACTCTCTTCTGATGCTGAGGTCTGGGCTCTGAGGTGGTCAGTCCATTGTCCTGAGAACACCAGCAGCTTCTTTGTTTAATGTGCAAATTATCTTTATTTGCATATTTCTTTTTCTCAGTAATGGCTTCTTGACGGCTACACATCCATTCAGACTTTGCTCACAATGGAAAGATGGACAGGAACACCTGTGGATTTTTTTTAGACTAGAACAGAGCTTGATTTTCTCTTAAAGATTGAAAGGTTTAAGTTTATCTGATGTTTTTAATCCAATGGTGACAATTTTTTTATATTTTTGAACATTTTTGGAAATTCCTATTTTTAACTTATTTTCCCCTTTTTATGCAAGTGGATTATTTAATTGCTTCAGAAATATTTTCTGAAAAAATATTAAATTGTACTTAATGGCTGTTTTGATTGGAAATTAAATAAATGAAAGCCGGTATCTGACTTTTGCACAGTACCATATAAGTGCAAATTTTTTATATTTACTGACTGCCCAAATAGTATCTGGTCAGTGGTGGTCATTTTCTGTTGATGGGCAGGGCAAAAATTGCACAGCAACTGATGGGGTATAGTCCATAACTAAATCTACAAAGTGCACATATATGAATAATGTTTGATAAAATTGCCAGTAAGTGCAGGTATGAAGCAGATACACAAAATGAGCTCAGTGTTTTTGTGTTATTATAAGGCCAAATAAAGCCAATGACCATATGTGGCATCGACTCCATGCTGTTTTGTCTATTTTGTCCCTTGACAGCGCACCCTTCTAGGGAAGCTGAGACTGCAGTCTGCTGAGCTGCTGGAGGGCTATGGCATGCCTGTTCGTGACCCTTCGGTCTTTCATTTCTTGTGGGTGGTAGACTTCCCTCTTTTCTTGCCCAAAGAAGATGATCCAGCACAGTTGGAGTCTGCCCACCACCCATTTACTGCCCCTGTTCCAGAGGACACCCATCTGCTCTACACCCAGCCCAGCAAGGTCTGTCTGTGCACTTCAGTGCTTTGATCCGCTACATGCATACTCCAGTCACGTCCCTCATCATTATGTGTTATGGTCCTGTAACCAGGAGAGTTTGCAGGGAGAACTGTTTTCATAAATCTAAAGCTGAATCTTCTGACTCATATCATCATCACATTCCTTGAGGGGAGAGGGAGAGAAATTGAGAACAATACAGCAGCCTTTTGCCGGTGCTTTCAGTGCCCATCTGACACCACTTTGCAGTGGTCAGCACCGGTACCCGTTTTTGCCCGAGGCGAGGCAAAACCTTTGCGCTTCCTTTTTGAATTACATTTATGCTGATCCTTCTATTTTATCCTCAACTACTTCCTCAGGTCCGTGGCCAACACTACGACCTGGTGCTGAATGGCTGTGAGATTGGTGGAGGCTCCATCCGCATCCACAATTCAGGCCAGCAGCTCTACGTCTTGGAGAACATCCTCAAAGTAAAGTATCTGCAATGGAAAAAAATAAGTTCATAAGTGCACTCTGGCTGTTGAGTATCCCTTATGGCTGTTCACTGGCCACAGTTTCCTAGAGCAGTGTTTTCCAGTACTTCATCTGAGCGCTTCTCTCACTTAACACCCCCACTCCCTTCAATCAGCTCACAGCTCCGTCGCTGTGGTAACCCGCTAGGCTATATTTAATGCTTAAACAATGGCTTTAGTTGCTGAGAGCTGGGCAAAAGGAACATTACAGCTTAGTGCTTTTATACGTGCCTACACAGTACCTTGAGATTTGTTCCCACACGGCAAAGCTATTTTAGGGACTTTAGTCTGTTTTGTTTCCTTTAAAGTGGGACTGCAGGTTTATGCGGTTTGATCTTTCAAGGCTGTATAGTGGCAGCTCTGTTGCAGTGCTTTTTGAACCAAAGCTGTGGGGTACTCTTCCATCGGGAAAGTATTTTAGAGTTTAATGAATAAAAAACACATAAGGTTTAGCATTAAGCTTGCAGTTGGCCTACAGAACAATAACTTGCCCAGCTTATGCTGTTTGAATTTTCATAATTTGGTTTGAAATTTTTCCTTGTGTGTAGCTTCATTTAGATGTTCCCTTAAAGCCAGCATGATGATGAAATCACACTGCGTTTTCCTTTAAGACCAATGCGTATTTTCAAGTGAAATACAGTTTTAGGGAGGGCCTCAGAGCTAGCTGAGTATTTTCACTTTATGGTAGGTAGTTTGGTGGGGAAACAGGATATTATTTTGCATGCCTGCTGGTGCACTATGATGTAATCAGAAATCAGAATACGTTTTAGAGGTGAGGAAAAGTCATTACATTTTGTTGGAAGATTACTGGAAAACAAACATTTTGTTTTTAAATGATATAGAGTGAATCATGCTTAAAATGACTAGGGACATTAACTACTGGTAACAGTTGAACAGGTTACCCTTCTCATAAAAAGATGCTTATAAAGTGGTAAATCCAAAAAAAATAGGTAGAAGAAAATTGGACAGCACCTGTAAAATTTACAGAATATTGATTAAGCTCACAGAAAAAAGCTGAAGTGCGTTTCAGCACACTGCCTTCCTCAGCGTGCTCTTGACATTCTAGCCACCAACCCAGTAAACAGTATTACTAATTTTATCTTTATTCATATCGTATGGTGACACTGTATTCACGGAGACTAACAAGGTAAAAAAGGTCAGTTTTGATTTCTAGTTTAAGGTAAGATGCAAGATGAGCTGCTTGTATCGCTACATTCTCTGTGGCTCTATGTTGCACACTAAGTCAAAAACATTTAGAAAAAGAGTAAAAATACCATATATTCAAATAACCATGCCCATCTCTAGAAGAGTTCATTTTCTGTTTTATGACCCGCGGATTGACCACTGTGCTTTGTGCTTACAGGAAGATCCATCTCTCCTCTCACACCTGTTGGAAGCGCTGGACTCTGGAGCCCCTCCTCATGGTGGGATCGCATTAGGTAAGCTCAGACCATGACACCTGCTACCCTCAGACACTGCAGATCCATCAGTCTGAAAAAAACAAGGTCATAGCAGGGCTGCAGTGACTGAAAGACTTTCTAAAGTTATCTCCTCATATCAGCCGGCACCGGTCATGCTCTGGGCAAAAATTGATTGTCCGATGAAGATTACTTGGCAGGACTGTGACTGTTCGAGGACTTGAGTGAGATTGTCCCGGTGTGCATTTGAGCTTAAGAACATGCCCTTAGTAAAGCATCTGACCGAAAACGATGTTACTTTTTTTTTTTGGCTGCTCATGCACATTTCAACACTAGTTTGAAAATAAGATCATGAACAGTAAAAGGACTGTGAGTGTTTCTGTGTCAGTATTTCTAAATTAGATTTATTCTTCTCCTTCAGGGCTAGACCGTCTGGTGTCCATCATCGTGGGGGCTCCAAGTATCAGGGACGTTATTGCCTTCCCCAAATCGTTCAAAGGTTATGACCTCATGAGCCATGCTCCTGATTTTGTGTCAGAGGAGGAGCTGAGGCCATACCACATCTTTGTGGTCTGGCCTAGTGTGGACAGCAGAGAGGACAAACAACCCTGACCGTTCCATTCTGCTCCATCTTCCAGAGTAACTCATGCCTGTTAAGCTCTGTTTGTAAAAGGAGGAAAGAGACTGTGGTGGGTTTCTAGCGGTCACTGTCCATTTTCAGTGTTTGCTGTTGGTGATTGCTTCTGAGCAGTAGAAGTGTGACCCAATTTCATAAAAGAATTACACAGCAGCTGTATGAGAAAGTCTTACAGAGGCAACTGAACAACCTCCAACATGTCCATCAGATCAATGTTATGTATGCTGTCAAGATTAAAAGCGCAAGTGGTGTCCAGTTCTGGTCCTGGAGGGCTTTAGTTCATCAGCCGTTCTTTATCAGGTTTAGTAGGCGTGTCTGAGCAAGGAAATCAGAAACTGTGCCGGACACCAGCTACACTGAACTGGACATCCCTGAAAATGCTATCATTCACACTTATAGTATGTTTGTCTATTGCTATAGTGTTTTCTGTACTCATTTATTTTATACAAACAATAAAGACAGGACATTGAAACAGTAGCATATTGTCCATGACTCCAAAATGTTCCAGACTCCGAGAGCGAGGGAATGTTCCAGTAGGGGGTAGCCTTGTTCCATCACGCTGTCTTTCCTCTTCAGACCTACTGAATTGAGGCAGCACACAGTGCATATCTTACAATATCTCCAGCATTGGATTTCCAAATACAGCTTGAATTTTCTGCTGAGGGCTGATGCCTTGTCTACAACAGCAGCATGCTGATCTCCTGGGCTTGGGTCCACACGTCCAGGACACTGAGTGTTATTTCAGACTATATCCTGCATGCTGAAGGAAAGCAGAGACCAGGCTTTGGTGTTGTTGAATACTGCCAATTCGCTTATCACTCTTTGTTAATGATGCATAGCCTCCGCCCTGCTGTGCTGCAGGCCCACCTTTCAGTGAAAGCTCACCGTCTGCTGACGAAATGCCATTTGCTATACTGCCGTTTGCCGACATCGACAGGCTTGCACGCAGATGTTCTCATTAATTCTCCAAACACATACACACATCCCTCTCAACATGCATACACACACTCAACCTGGCAAATCTTTATTTCACATTCTGAGGATTTTACTACCTCTAGAGCAAAATGCCCTTTAAGTATGTATCTGCCCTGATTTTTTGCATTTTTTGTTCTGTACATGTTCATCATGCCCTAAGCTGCCTAAGCTGGTTTCCTCTGCAGGGGAAAAATAAATGATGATTTTTACAAAATTGCTTCTGTTGCATCCTGTGGTAAACAAAAATGCTCCAAAGCTAATACGTTTTGCCATCCCTACATTTTCCCTGAAATGTCACTGGATCCTCTGAATTATGAGGTTGTTAAGGAGTATATGAATGTTGCTACATGCAAGACTACGTACATGTAACGCAGGGCTTCTCTTAAAATTTCAACAAAACAAGTCTGTATCACACCTAAAACTGGCAGAACACTAAAAAGAAAAACACATTTTTGGCCAAAACGTTGCTGTGGTTAGAGTTCGTTATGGCTGCTTTCTAAACAGAACTCCTAATCACTGTGTCGTTTATTTTGACTGTGATTGGTCCTAATCACTCCGTCATTCGTTCTGAGACCTCCCTCTTACTGCGATTGGTCCACTGTACTATAATGTATGTACATGTACAATACTATAATACTGTCTCAGTGTTCAGTCCACAGAATATTCATACAAATGTGCATCTATGTATATCCATTGTTTAACCTAGCAACCTGGTATTTAAGTCAGCCTTCAGTAGATGCATTTAGTAACTCAAATGGACAATGGGAGGTCTGTATATTATTTTGCTAACATTACCTAACAGTACCTAAAGGAGTTAATTGAGTTGACTCTTTTTTTCCATAGCAGCTAGCTAAATTTCATTAGAATATAGTTTTCCTCTTCAACCCAAACACAGCATGTTAGGCCATAGCTGTATGCTTAATGCATCAGCTTTTCACAGTTATTTTTGCTACACTGGGCTTCAGTACGAGTTAATGGCAGATTCAAATCCACGCTGTTTTAGTTGTGCAAAGATCAACGCTTATTGGACAACAGCTTTTTACAACATCATTTTGGCCCCTGTCCAAATGCTGGGCTTTGCTGGGGGTGTATGAGCCTATCTGGAGATGGGGTGTGAATGGAATGTTTTAACCAACCTTCACAATGTTTACAAACTACAAAATGTCTTTTCTTTCCAAAAATATGAAATGTATTTTTCCATGACATGGACATGGTTTTACTTTCACAAATTTCCAAAATAATAAAATAAACATTGTAAACAATAACTAAGGTCCCAAATAACAGCTATTGTAAAATGTATATATTCCGGAATAAGTTACTGAACATAAACTCATACACTATGTCTAATTTGCATTTTTATGGGGCCCTTAGATCAAGGGGGCCCTAGGCGGCTGCCTACCTTTGCCTAGTGCAAAGACCACCCCTGTTTACAAAGCAAATCACCAAGAGTCTACCCATTTAGTAAATCTGTCTGCATCTAAAATGCAGCCAATAGAAAGTGATGCATGCAACCTCCTTTGTTAATCGATAACCTTTTATCCTATAGTAGCGAGCACGAACTTTAGTTTGACTTTGTTTTTTGCCGCCTGTCGCTATAAAAGCATGAATAAATGTAGGGGGTTTAGTGGGGCATGAAGATTGGTCAGTAGGGCATTGCCTGATGCCGGGCCTGGGTGAACTGCAATCTGTCAGAATGATTATGTCCACCCTCTGAATATTACAGAGTGAAGTAAACGGGCCACTTTATCCCATAATCAACATCAACGGCTTATCGACTTATCCACCAACCAGTTGTTACAACCCTACTGTACAATGTTTTATGATGAACTGCAGTGTATATGGGAGGCAAATCCAGCCAAAAAAAAATTAAAATTAAAACAATAAAATGTAAATGCAAACCTCTTTTTGCCATTTCTTTTTCCAAACATCTGCGCAAATATCCTGCCAAAATTGAAAATGAAATGAAACACCTACATTTGCGATTTCATTTTGCACATGAGCACGAGCCATTTGTGACAAAAATAAAAATAAATGTAAAACAGCTGTTTGTCATTTAATTTTAGTCGTTATTCTGGTATTTCATGGCCAAATCTAAAATGAAAAAGCTAATAGAGAAAAGAAAGTCCAAGCTTCACTTTGGTTTTGGCTTTTCTTCATGAAATGCAGAATATGTGTCAAAACTAAAATCAAAATGCAGTGTTTATGTTCTTATTTCTTTTTCACAGCAATCGGCTGCAGATCTGACAAAATGAAAATGCAAAATGGATAAATCAACAGCAAAGTGACAGTTTGTGTTTCAGTTTTCGGCGTCGACGCGCTTTAAGTGTCAGAATGAAAAGGCAAATGCAAACGAACATCAGCGCCACCTGCTGGACATTTACTTTACATTTTCCACTTTTCGTTTTCTTTTTCAAACTGACCAACATGCAAATATATGTTAATTAGCACTGGGCGGGGCTACGGGGTACATTATAGGACATCCTTAGACCTCCGAGTCAGAACGGCATCATTCCTCAAGCTAAACGATTAACCATCGTTATGACTCAGATCTGGTGAAACTGAACGGCAGCACAAACTCCGTCAGAAAAAAACTGGAAATATTATACTGGCATTTATATCGAGATACATAATAGTTTTCTAAGTTATACGAACCACTATATGCTCGACCAGGCCTGCGTTTGGTCTGATACCATTTCTCTGAGGCCGTTTGTGCTGACGTTCAGTTTCACGAGATCTGAGTCATGACGAGGAAAGATGCCGTTCTGACTCGGAGGTCTAAGGATGTCCTAAAATGTACCCCGTAGCCCCGCCCAGTGCTAATTAACATATATTTGCATGTTGGTCAGTTTGAAAAAGAAAACGAAAAGTGGAAAATGTAAAGTAAATGTCCAGCAGGTGGCGCTTATGTTCGTTTGCATTTGCCTTTTCATTCTGACACTTAAATGCGTCGACGCCGAAAACTGAAACACAAACTGTCACTTTGCTGTTGATTTATCCATTTTGCATTTTCATTTTCATTTTGTCAGATCTGCAGCCGATTGCTGTGAAAAAGAAATAAGAACATAAACACTGCATTTTGATTTTAGTTTTGACACGTAAAGTGAAGCTTGGATGTTCTTTTCTATATTAGCTTTTCATTTTAGATTTGACCATGAAATACCAGAATAACGACTAAAATTAAATGACAAACAGCTGTTTTACATTTATTTTTATTTTTGTCACAAATGGCTCGTGTGAAAAATGAAATTGCAAATGTAGGTGTTTCATTTCATTTTCAATTTTGTCAGGATATTTGCGCAGATGTTTGGAAAAAGAAATGGCAAAAAGAGGTTTGCATTTACATTTTATTGTTTTAATTTTAATTTGTTTTTTGGCTGGATTTGCCTCCCATACAGTGTAAAGCTGGATTCGATAGATCAGTCAAAAGAAAAAGGCATATTACATTTGTTTTAATCTGTTTTAAAATGTCAGCAGCCTTTTACACTGTGATGAATGGACCGCTATGAAATGACACAAACGTATTTAGAATAAAATCTCGCGTACGTTCATTCAAGGTAAGAATGTTTCATTTCGGATATGTAAGATTTTGTTATGACAGATGACATATTAAACTGTGTGTCTGTGGGCGAATCAACAAAAACAGAAAACGAAGGCGAAGCGTCAGTCGTCACTGCTTGGCACTGCTGTTTCAAAAGGCAGCCTTCTTCATCTCAGCAGATGGAGAACAATCAGCCCAATCACGCGTTCTCTGAGATACGGAAGCTCCCTGATGGAAAAATCGCGAATGACAGCGAGGCACAGGAGTCAAGCGTAAACTCACTCGTGGCGTTCTTCCAGCCCCACCGCTGTTTGGAGAGCGAGCAAATGGCTGCTGAAATTGTTGTTTAACTCGTGTTCAGGAATTCAGAAACTCCCCCATCGTCCGTCCTCTCTCTCTCTCTCTCTCTCTCTCTCTCTCTCTCATGTATCTCTGCCACACTCGATTTATTCATGCACTCAAACAGCTTAAAATAAGCTGCCGTTGGTGCTTGAAGTACAAACGCAACAAACACGAAAGGTCAGGTAAAGGACTTCGAAATTTCCCCCCACAGAGCAAACCACTTTGAATTGGCAAGTTCCCCCAGCGCTGTGGCTCTCCGGGGCTGAGGAGGAAGAGTAATTATAATGGATTCCAGCTGAGAGTCCTTTTTTGTGGCTTCATTTGTCTCTGTGTAAATCTCCCGCGTTTTGTAATCTCTTGGGACACAGTAAGCCAAGTGACGTGGTCAGTAGGGAGGACTCCTTTAGGTAGCTTACAGACATGCAGGAGGGATAATGAGCCCAGGCTGATGGACTCTGAGCAATCACAGCTAATATGAAAGGATATTTGTAGGACATTACCAATTTGCTACTAATCAGTAAAGATATAGCCTGTTTTCTTCTTTTTGGCCCAAAGGATGTACACATAATTGATGGCTGAAAATGTTTGGTTGTCAAATAATCTCTGCTGTGGTTAATTTTCTATGAGCCTTGCAGACTGCAGTATAAAGCCCGAGACAGTCCATGTCAGTCTCTGCAGTAGCATATGAAATGTTGGAAGTAGCACTTCATGACTGGATTTCAAAAGGCCACTCAAGCTGCTGGTAGTTAGGCCGTCATTCAAAGTCGAGGCCGTTAGTGCTGCTGTGATACAGTGAGCCCGCTGCTAGACATCTTGTTGTATAGAGGTTGTATTTGAACACTCAGATAAAGGGTGAAAAGTCGATATAGGCCTACTGTGTGCCCCAGAAGCTTTAGAGCAGCAGTTAGAATACAAGCCAAATCTCATTCCTTATGAAGAAAAGGACGTTACCTATCCTTCCCTACCTCCTTTCACCACGGCTGCACAGGAGCAAGGTGGAATTCATGCTCCATAAATTATTCGTCCAACAATGGATTGAAACATGAGATTTGCCAATACAGGGAAGGTTGCTGAATAACTAGAAATGTCAGAGGAAAGGCTCAGACTCTGTCCAGTCCAGAGTATTTTGTCAGTAATCGTATCTGGATGTAGGGGTGGGACAATGTGAGAATATGTTTCTGTTATTGTGATAAAATTACATGATTACAAACGTTTGCAAAAGTTTGGGCCCCCTTGCTCCTTACATGTTGATCTTCTAAGTGAAAATAAGCACACATCCTTTACAGACAACACATTTCTGCACATTTTGATACATAGTCACTGTTTA